CCCCCCCCATTGTAGTCACTATCAGTATAGTAAGATGCTATAAAGTCAGTACTTGTCTTCTCCATGCTGTACTTCCTTCCCTGTGACTACTTATATTGTGAGTGCTAATTATAATGCCCCTTAATCCCCTTCTCCCTCCCTCCCCACCCACCTCCCCTTCCCTTTGGTAACTGCTAGTCCCTTTTTGGAGTTGTGAGTCTGCTGCTGTTTGTTCCTTCAGTTTTTCTTTGTTGTTAATACTCCACAAATGAGTGAAATCATTTGGTACTTGTCTTTCTCCACCTGGCTAATTTCACCGAGCATAATGCTATCTAGATCCATCCATGTTGTTGCAAATGGCAGGATTTCTTTTTTTATGGCTGAATAATATTCCTTTGTGTATTTGTACCACATCTTCTTTATTCATTCATCTACTGATGGACACTTAGGTTGCTTCCATATGTTGGCTGTTGTAAATAGTGTAGTGATAAACATAGGGGTGCATATATCTTTCTGAATCAGGGATCTTACTTCTTCAGGTAAATTCCTAAGGGTGCAATTACTGGGCCAGATGGTATTTCTGTTCTTACATTTTTGAGGACCCTCCATATTACTGTCCACAATGGTTAAACTAGTTTATATTCCCACTCTCTGTAGGAGGATTCCCTCTCTCCGTGATGCTTTGAAGTTTTACTACTACAGTTGTATTTATCATTTCTTTCTCTCAAAAATCTGTGGGATTTTGGTTTATATAGTTAGAGAGACTTGATTGGTTCATGTAATTTCAGTTGTTACATCTTGGTAAATAGTTTGTTACATTGTGACCCTATCCTAATAATGCATCTTGCCTTAATTTCTATTTCATCTAATATTTTATAGTTACATACCAGCTTTCCTCAGCCTAATGTTTGCCTAGTGTATCTTCTTTTCCATCTCTATGCTTTTTGATCTTTTTGTGCTATTGTGTTCACATTTGTGATTTCAGGTATATTTGAAATTGTTTCTAGCATTCCTAACTCCATTTCACACATACATTTTCTCATATAGTTCTCTCAAAATACCTCACATTTTCTGAGAATTTATAATCCTAATCTTCTACTACTTGTCCTTAAATTATTAATACTCATAATTAAGATCTACAGTTCATGGATGTCTATTGGTTTCTAAGCCAAAACAAACAAATAAATAAACTCCATGGACTATCGAGTACTTTTACTTTGATTATTCCCTTCCCTGCTTATATATACTTGTTGCACAATATTTTGTGATTATAATTTTGGGTTTATATGATCTGCATGCTGAGGTTTACCTAGGTTCATGCATATCTTTGCTAACCATTGCTTCTTGTATCCCCTCTGGACTAAATTGCTGTCTTCTGCATTACATTAGTAATTTTTGTTTTGCTATCACTCTTGAATGATGGTGTAACTATAGATTTCTAGGTTGACAGTTGTGTTCTCTCAACATGTTGAAAGTATTACTCCATTTCTCATGACTCCTTTTGTTATTGCTGTTGAGAAGTCTAAGTCATTAATTTAAAAGTGCAGTACCTTTTTTGCATTCTTTCAGATTGCCATTCTGTTATCTTAAATTTATGGGATTCTAATTCTGTCTTCTTTGTGTCTGTTGATCCATGAAAATTGTTGCCTGGTGTGTTTTTCAATTATGGACTGATCCTTAACAGGATATCTCTGTGAGATTCCTTTGTGGCTGTGTTATGGGAGCTTTTCTCTAGAGAATTTTGACCTGGCTAAGAGTGGAATCAGTGGTACTGACAAACTTTAATGTTACTTTTATACTTATTTTTTTGGACCAGGCAGCAGCATATATTCAAACTCAGATCACATCCTGAGTAGCATAGCAGTTCAGTTTAGGCCCTAAAGCCAGACTTTGTGCTGAATCTTTGCTCTGCAAGTTACATGCTATAACCTTGATAAGTTACTAACCACTCTGCTTCAGTTTTCTCATCTATAAAATGGAGATAATAAAATGGCTTCCTATAGTGTATGAAGATGAATGAATCAAATGCATTTAAAGTTCTTAGAGCAGTGCCTTGCACATAGTAAATATACAGGTATTAATAATTTTCTTGAATTTTGGGTGGGGGGAAAAGAGATAAGCTTATTCTTGGTAATAATGTCTTTGGGTCTGTAGATCAGTTGTTTCTAGTATTCTCTTTTTCTTCATGAGCACTGGCTATCTTGACTGAGAGGGATTCTGTCAGTATCAGCTCCCTAATTTGTATGTGGCCAGGTCTCCTGGTCCTGTGTAGGTATTAAAAAATCCAAGTCCTTAAGGTGCTAAGATGGCTCCCTTCTTTTCTTCTCCCCCAAGTAGTCTCTGTTCAAGTCTACACCCCACAGGTTTTCCTTTCCCTCAATTTCTGGCACTTGAAAATTTCCCTTTCTTTCTTTTGAGGTCAGTTTTGCATTTAAAAGATTGTGTATTACACATTCATTTTATGTTTTTATATGAGTTTTTATATATTCTAATCTGCCATATGTCCATAGGCAGGAGTTTTAATTATTATATAGTACCTAGTGCTTTCTGTATTGTTATTTCTGGCCTAGTTATTCAGAATCTAAGATAATACTGTATTTTAGTCATTATTTTCATGGAGGGAAATGTTTTGAATGCCAAAGACTGTAGTGAGAATTAATATATGCATAAATGCAAACATTTGCTTTTTAAAATTATAAAACCTGAATGTTGTTAGAATATTTCCTTGCATTTTGGGATTTGAATCTAACTCAGTGCATTTTTTATTTAGTTTTCTTTTGCCGGAAGAAAATGTTTGCAATGAGATACTGGTAAAGTCTCAGTTTGTTGCTTGTATGGCTACTTGTCATTCACTCACAAAAATTGAAGGAGTCCTTTCTGGTGATCCACTTGATTTGAAAATGTTTGAAGCCATTGGATGGGTAAGTTCAGTTTTAAAGCACAAATAACTTTAGGAAAATGTTAAAAATTACCTTGCATAGGTATTGTTTCCACTAGCTGTTTTGACAACAGATCATCTTATACCATTAAAAGAACTATGTAATTACTAAAGATACATCACTGGAGAAATATTCATAATTGTGTAAAAAGTGTCTGTTTTAGTTAAATTGACTAACTTAAACACCTTTAATAGAGGATGACCTGCCCAGGCCCTGCTTTACATTTATAAGAGGAACCAGCTATCAGTGACTTGGGGCAGTAGGGCTGAGTCAGTAACAAACACAGTCTTCAGTGGCACAATTTGTTGATCATGGTAAAAAGTATAGAGTAGTTATGTGTCTTCAGTGTTCCTTTTTCCCCATCTTCTCCTTCCTGTGTCCTTACACACACACACACACACACACACGTTTTTGTTTACAACTTTTTTCTGTGTGTTTGGTCATTGAGAATTTTAATTTCTGAGTACTTGTTATGTTCTCTGGTTTTTACCTCTTTACAACATTCAGTTCTTGTTTTATAGATTAATAATTGTTTTTAAAGTTACTTTCTGGCTTCTGAATTACTTATTTTTTCTGTGTCAGTGTTCTTTTTCCCTCCCTTCATTTGGTCTTTCTTCTTCATGCTTTTGGTTTACATCCTGATTGTGCTTTCATGTTAAGAATGAAGGTCTGATATAATAATTGTGAGTAGCTGTGGTAAGGTTTTTATCCTTTCCCGTATGTGTGTTAGTCTGTTTTCTTAAGAAGTGTCTCCCCTGAATGGGAAGGCTGACAGGATAGCAGGGTCTCATCAGCAGGCATTCTGCAGTTTTCATAGGAGTAGAGTCAGTCTTTAGGTTGCTTTCCTTACCTACTCCCACAGTGCTTGGAGAAGCAGAGCTTTATACCCTCATATCAGCAGCCCTTCCTCTTCTTACATTGGTAGTTCACATCTCTAGAGAATGGCGCCCTGGTTTTGTTTTTTTAGCTTAGGTCAGCTATTTTAACTAATAGGAAATGTTCCTCTCTAAATGCCCTCTTGTGTATATTCTACGCTATTGTTTCCCTAATTATTTTGTCCATCAATATGTTTCACTTTGCTTTTGTCTTGATATTTGAAATCCCCTCTCTTTCCTTTCCTTTCCTTTCTGTTTATTTTCACAAGCTTTTTTTTTTAATGTTTATATTTTGAAAGGGAGGGAGATCAGTTAGGAAATAAGTGCTCTGCTATCTTCTGAGAGCCCACAATGAACACTCATCAAATTAATTCCCAAAGGTAGGTCCACTTCACTTTAGAGAGTAAAGCAAAATGAGATTGCATTATCTCTGATGTTCTTTAAAGCTTCTCTCCAACTGAACAGATTTTCAATAGATTTAGTGTTCTGTTTGTGAATCTTCTAAAACATGGTTTAAGTAAATGAGCTTGTATAAGTGTGTTTTGTTGACTCAGAGGTGCTTTGATGCTTGATCTTACCGTAAAGTATCAACAGAATGTTTTCATGGAACTGGGGCACTACTATTACTTGACATGAATAATGTCATGAGAGATACATCTTAATTTCAGAGATGTTAAAAAGTGTCCTAGAATTGTAAAAAAAATGGCTAGTTGGACATACTTCCCTTCTTCATTGTTTTCCCATAGATTTATTACTACACTACAGTGTGAAATTATTTTTTCTTGTGTATGTGCATTTAAACAAGTTTTTGTTTGAAGTCTTTCACCAAAAAATGTTTTTAAATTAAATTTCAAACAATTAGGGTAGTAGTAGCTTAACTAGAAGCATTCAAGCTGATGCACGAAACTCATATCTTTATACCTCAGTGTGTTCTTGGCCCCGTGCTTCTAATGATATCTGAGCTCCATATACTTTTGAGTACTCTCATGTTAAGCAGATAGGAATCCCTGGATAATATTAAAATTTTTTTGAATTGCAGGAATCTTGTGTTTTGCAAACTAGTCTCTATAATCTACAGATTGTAGGAGCAAAATGAGAGAAGTTTTTCTCTATTTCTTTACTCCACTTCTAAACTCTGCCTCTTTCCCATGGGTTGAATCTACAGATTGTAGGAGCAAAATGAGAGAAGTTTTTCTCTATTTCTTTACTCCACTTCTAAACTCTGCCTCTTTCCCATGGGTTGCTAGGACTTAAATAACTTCGTTTATATCTTGTTTTACTTATGTTAGTCATCTGGTAGTGCTCATTATTCCTTGGTTATGGGTTTTGTTTTTTTTTAAACTTCAGTAAAGATAGCAGTAATGTTTCTTTTAAAAGTGGAATCAGTCAATGAATATTATGAAGCAATGTGTTGACTGTTTTCCTTTCAGATTCTGGAAGAAGCAACTGAAGAGGAAACAGCACTTCATAATCGAATTATGCCAACTGTGGTTCGCCCTCCAAAGCAACTGCTTCCTGAGTCTGCACCTGCGGGGAGCCAGGAAATGGTGGGCAGTCCCTTTAAACTGCAGAATGCTGTTGTTGCTCATGTGTAATCCTTATTTTGAAATGTTGCTAAAAGATGAAATCATATGTCCTTATATAACTCTTAGGTCTGTGAATATTTTAACTGCATTTATCAGAAACTACTCCTGGTGTCTTGTTAACATTCTTTGTAAAACACTGAGATTTAATTCAGTACAATTACTTTTTCTTCCTATTTATTGCGTAGCTTATTAGTGACTTGTGATTTAGATACATGGTGATTAATCCTTTTAAATTGTATCTGTATTCCTAGGATTTAATAAAAAGAATATGTGAAAGTATTTTTTAGGTGAATTTTTAAATAAGTTCCTCTTATTTTAGTACTTAATATATTATGAATGTTTTTAGGAGAGCAGAACAGTTATAATTCAAGAGTATACTTTTTAAAAATGGGAGGGAATAGAGGAACAGTCTTGAAATCTTATTGGAATAATCAAAGTTTTGCTATTTTCCAGTTGTTTTGTGGATGTATATAATTGTGGTAGTGTTTTTTTTAAAACTTGAACATGTTAATGAATTTAATCTGTACTATTTTAAAAATTCTTTTTGCTTTGTTTTATTTTTAGGAGCTGTTTGAACTTCCAGTAAGTAAAGAACATTTATTAAAGATATTTGTTTTAATTCTTAAAAAATAATCAGTGCTTTGTGCATCTTTTGAAATTATATAGGCCATTTATGAGATAGGAATTGTTCGCCAGTTCCCATTTTCTTCTGCTTTGCAACGTATGGGTGTGGTTACAAGGGTACTAGGGGATAAGAAAATGGATGCCTACATGAAAGGAGCACCCGAGGTCATTGCCAGTCTTTGTAAATCTGAAACAGGTAAGGAAATAGCTAGGCTTTGAGTAAAATTCTGGTTATTTGTGTTAAGTTTGTATTTGCAATTCTAACAGTATACTTTATTATTGTTTCCTTTTTTAAAGTTCCTGTTGATTTTGAAAAAGTTTTAGAAGATTACACTAAACAGGGCTTCCGTGTGATTGCTCTTGCACACAGAAAATTGGAGTCAAAACTGACATGGCATAAAGTACAGAATATTAGCAGGTAAGGTTCATGAGTAGTTTTTCTACAGTTTTCCAATAATGCATCATTTATGTTTATATGTCACAATAATTTGCATGTAATTGGGAATTTATTAAATATTTATTGAATGTATACAAGCATATATAATGCAATGTTTGCTTTAGGTGATTGAGATAAAAATACAATTCTTTTGGAACTTTTTTAGTTCATTTACTAAATATTTAGAGGGTCTGCTATGTGTCAGGCATGCTTTAGGAACATGATTATTTGAATAAATATAAACCTAAAGAAGTTTGTTTTTCCCAAATGATCTATTTGCTTTTGCCCAGTGGTTGGAATCAATATTAATTTGGTCAGAGTATCATGAGTCGCAGTAATCAGGTATCATCCCCCTACCCCCAGAGGTCAAATGACATTAAGCAACATCACATTTACTTTTTGCCAGTCTTTCCTTTCTGTAATTTGTGTTCTATAGTACCTCTAGAGAGAGCTTTTTAACATTCAGAAATGATAACCTATTTCCTACTTAGAATTCTTTCTTATAAATGGCTTCCCATCATCTACTGGAAAAGTTCACAATCAAGAATATGCATCAGGATAAAACAAAACAAAACACACAGACTTGGTTTGAAAATACAGACACATAAGTATCAGAAAAAGACAAACAGTGGTTAATGAACAATGAAAACGATGGGACATGTTAGTTCTTGGGGAACTACAAAATAAAATAATGAGATATCACTTCTCTCCTAAGGTTGGCAAACTTGAAAAGATCAGTAATACCAAGAGTTAGTAAAGGTTTGAGACAATTTTAGCAACATACTGTTCTACACTATTATAAATTCATAAAGAACATGAGTAGTACTTACCAAACTTAAATGTGTTTAACCATTTGACCCAGCAAGTGCAGTTCTAGTAATCTAGCTTAAAGAATTATTTCTACATGTGGGTAAGATTCATGTTTAAATAGTATAGATCACATAATACCAATAGGGCAGTGTTTAAATTATGGACTCTTGATACTTCTGTTAATTGTAGGTTTTCCCCCACTCTCTGATAATAAAGCATTCCTTTCAAACTTTTTTGTAAGCCGTAATGACGTAAAGCAAAGATGCAGTTACCATTAATTTGTATGGAAAAATTTTGAGTGTTCCCAGATCCAAAAAAAAACCTTTCTTAGGCTTTTCTGAGATCTTAGGACACATCTTGCTAAGAATGCACATAATAAATCAAGATAAAGCATGGATGCTCACAGACACAATTTATAGCTATGGTGGCTTGATACTCAGCTGCTGAGTGTAGGTGCCTGAGAATGAGCTTGATGATGCCATTTTTGCTGGTCCTGTGTGTGCTGCCTCTGTGATGACATGCTACAAAAACAAACGTTGAATGCTGTTTTGGCTTTAAACCTTTTTCACTAAAGCAGAAATCCTCTTTTGGTTGGTGAAAACAGGCTAATGTAGATTTTTTCTAAAAGCAAAGTGGCTTATGGTCAACTTTTGAAAAGTGGAGCTGTTTTCTAGGCCCATTAAGTGAAAAGGATAGGGCAGTATAGTGCAATCCTATGTTCCTGAGTGAGAATTAAAGGAGTGGAGTGGATAGCCATTTAACTAAAAGGAAAAACTACATTAGGAATTATTAAAACAGAATTTTGGGGGGATGTGCTGTAAGCATGAATGTATAAAGAAAAGAGAGAGTTGAAAAGCAATAACCAAATTATCATGCATAGTTGGAAGCCACAGATGTAAAATATTATATTCATATTTTTAGGAAGGGCACCTTAAGCCCTTAATCTACAGCTTCCCCTTTTGTTCATTACCCCCTTAAACACTATTTAATTGATTATAGTTCTTGAGCCTGTCATATTCCGGACATCCTTCCATGCCCTTGGATAGGCTATTCCTTCTACCCAGAGTAACCTACCCCTTCCTATCTACTTTTTTCTCTCACCGCTCGCTCTTCTTCACTGTTCAACCAAGACCACCTTTGAGTCTCCATTCAGACTCCTTGTAGGAACAAATTTTGGCATTTCTCTTACAGCTTGAACGTTTACACCTTAAACTGATATTGTACTATTCATTAATTAGAGGGCACAACTTCCATAATCTGTACCATTCTTAGTGAGTTAGGAGACCAGCTGCAGCCAGAAACAAGTACCTCAGGAAAAAGGCCGCAGTGCATTTTGACACAGTAGTTTCACATTGGTCCAGCTTTGTGCTTTGAAATGCATTTTTAGGTGTCACAGCTTGTTAACTGCCAAGAATATCATTTGTATTAAGTTTTAACTATTCTGTAACACCTTTACCACCCATTGTTACAAATTATGTTTCAAAGATTGTTTAGATGTCATAGCTGTATACTTAAATGACCTTTATTGTTGAATTCTGTGTAGAAAACTACTTGATTGTCCCAAGTTTAAAATTTTTGTCTAAACCTCAGGTTCCCTTTCTCCAGTGAAAAAAATAATCCTGTGATATAATTTTGGTAGCTTGAGATTTTTTAAGAACACAGCTATCAATGAACAGACTTCATCTCCATTATAGTGATGAAGTGAATATTATTTTTGATTACATCTCTTTGCCTGTTTACCTACAAAAGTGTTTTAAGAGTAGAGATCATGCCTTTTCATCTTTGATCTCCTAACTACTAGTGTAGTATTTGGTGCATAGTAGATGCTCAACTGTTTGAAGGAATAGCATCTTGATAACTGTAGAATATCAGCAAATACTTTAAAAGACCCTTTTCTGGGTCCCAAGTAAATTTCATTGTCAGACTGAATAGTCATTGTATCATACCTCCAGAATCAAGAATTTGATCATGAGTTTTATAAAATTCATCAAAAACTTGATAGGAGTCCAGTATAACTAATCAAATGTGCTTGTGGTATATAGTTGTTTCCTTTTCACAATATTTAAGTTAGAGTATATTGTGAGGGGAATAGTAAAGAATAGATTTATGTTTATTCGTTTTGTGGGTCGATATAAGATGAATATTCTTTAATACTGTAAGTGTTTAGTGTCCTACAAAAATATTCATTTCTAAGTGATCTTTATATTCCCACATTTCAGAGGGTAAAATTTAATTTCAAAATGTATTTTTGGAAATTGTTTTTCCAGATTTGAATTTTTTTGAGATAATCAACTTGTAAATACACACATTTTTTACTTACTCAGCATATAAAATGTTTTAATGTATAATTTATGGATGTTTTAAATTGTTCTATCAATATAAAGATAACACTACTTGTTCTCTTGATTAAACCATTATGTGTTAAAATTTTTCCTGCAGAGATGCCATCGAAAACAACATGGATTTTATGGGATTAATTATAATGCAGAACAAATTAAAAAAAGAAACCCCTGCAGTACTTGAAGATTTGCATAAAGCCAACATTCGCACTGTCATGGTCACAGGTTAGACTTTATAAAAGGACACAGAAAAAATTGAGTATGACTCTTAGTTCTAGATATGTAATATTGTGGAATGATCAGTTAAGTTATAAAAGCATAGTCTATAGTGGCTCCATTCTACATTGCCCTATTTCAGCTCTGAGTATTTTTCAAAGTGTAAAATAACTTTGCAATACTCCTTTGAGTGTAGTAAATTATATTTGTAGGAAGTATAGTAAAATAGTGAAGGGTACACTATAAAAATTTAAGTTCTGTTTCTTGTATCTCTCTTCAATCATATATTTCTTCTAGTACCTGTTGTATCTTGCCTTGTGTTAGTTATTTGTAAATTTGTTTTCTGTCCTAGAATATGAGATTCTTAAAGGTTAAGAGTATGTTTTACTCATTTTGGGGTCTTCTAAACTGTGCCAGATGCCTGTAAAATGATTAATAGATATTTATTACAATTATATTTTTATGTGTAAGAGAATATATGTTTATTATCATTGCTTGAATGCACAATAGTGAAAATAGCCATTTTTTGTTTGTTTTTGGACTACTACATCTAAATGATTCTTCTGGTGTTATTACACTGTTGTGATAATATTAGATAATTCCCATTCCTTAGCTGTGTGAAATTATGGCAGCTCTAAGTTTTTTTTTCTTAGCAAATAATTAGAATTAAGATACTCACATTATGGTATTTATATGTGCAGTAAGACTTATATAAAAAAGGAATGCGTACATTTTTGTTTTAGACTTTGAGATCCATCAGGTAGCAGCATGCTTGCTACCATATAGCTCAAGTAACTAAATTTATTAGCACTCCAGCAATTCTTGGTTCTAATGACTCCTTCAAAGCACTTTCCATCTCTGTCTCTTCCTGCTCTTTCTTGGCATGACAGATGATGGCTTGTGTCCAAGGGGATCTCTCTGGTCACAGGAAGACACCCCTGGAAATAGTGTGTGGGCACTGGAGGAAGCCTTAAAGTTCTGGCAGCAGTGGGCTCCCCACAGCCTTTGCCCACTTCTTCCTTTTGTTTACATTGCCTTTCTTGATCCTGTCCTTATGGTGCTTCTCTTCAGTTCTTTCCTTCTCATGACTGAGAAGTTGTCTGCCTTGCTTCTCTTTACATCTTGAAAAGATTGTTTTCTTGTTACCTTGCTTATCTTTTTGCTTTTGTAACTAATTCTTTTTTTTCTGTAATAGGACTCTAGTGTTCTTGTAAAGACCATCAATCACTCCAGGTTATTTAGACAAATACATATTTAGCACCTGTTCTGTAGGTAGCTCTGTGGCAGATATTGAATGGATACTGCTACTGCATGACTGGAAAAGATTGAGAATGTATTTGGCTTTGAAAATTGTGGGTGATAATGTTCTGTTTAGCATATACATCCTTGAATTATTTAAGGTTTTCTTTGAAAAGTATGTCCTGATTTTGTTATTTTTAAGCTCTCAGATTGAGACCATTTATTATCTTCATTTTGCCTGGCTCAGAAATGAGGACTGTAGTACAGTCTCAATAAGTACAGTTGATCCTTGAAAAACACAGGGATTAGGGGCACCCAACACAGTCGAAAATCCAAATATAACTTCTTGTTCCCCCAAACCTTCACTAATAGCCTACCATTGACCTGAACACATTCTAATAACATAAACAACTGATTAACCCATGTTTTTTTCCTTATTTTTTATTTTGATATCATTAATGTACAGTTACTTGAACAACATTATGGTCACTAGAGCCCCCCTATTATCAAGTACCCCCCACATACCCCATTACAGTTACTGTCTATCAGCATAGTAAGATTAACCCATGTTTTTAATTTTATATGTATTATATATTGTATTCTCACAATAAGGTAAACTAGAGAAAATAATTTTTTTTCAAATTGATGCAAATCTCCAAGAATTTTTCCAATATATTTGTTGAAAAAAATCCACATATAAGTGGACCTGTGCATTTCAAACTTGTGTTGTTGGAGGGTTACCTGTATTTTTTTAATACATTCATGTCTCCATTTTAATTATGTATTTTTAATATTTTGAAAATTAGGTGACAACATGTTGACTGCTGTCTCTGTGGCTAGAGACTGTGGAATGATACTACCTCAGGATAAAGTTATTATTGCTGAAGCATTACCTCCAAAGGATGGGAAAGTTGCCAAGATAAATTGGCATTATGCAGATACCCTAACACAGTACAGTAAATCATCAGCAATTGACTCAGAGGTACTGTCAATATGAATTTTACCTTTTGAAGCTTGCTTGTTTGAATTGAGTCTGAAAGAATAAAAAGTGGTGCCTTAAAGCACAACAAAACAAAAATAAATGAAAACAGAAGCCTGGGCCATCTCCTAGAGACTCTGATTCATATTTTTATATTTAGTCAAAGTTGAAAAGCACAGTTTTAATGTATAAGAATCCCAAATATTTATCCTATTTTAAAAGTGGTGATAAATAATTCAGGTGGTCCATAATCCTCAGTTCATGGATAATTTCAAATTGAAGTTATTTACCTTTCCTTTATTTTTTAAAATATTATAGATTACCTTAAAATTGAACTTCTTTTTACTTTCAATAAATGTTAATCTTTCAGTGTCTTTTGTGAAATAGCAAATGAAAGAATTTAGTTCTTGACCAAATCTATTTAAAATAGGATTGTGTTACTTTATTTGGCTATCTTAATGTTGTTCTGAATGTCCTATACCTAGGCTATTCCAATGAAATTGGCCCATGATAGCTTAGAGGATCTTCAGGTGACTCGTTACCATTTTGCAATGAATGGAAAATCATTTTCAGTGATACTGGAACATTTTCAAGACCTTGCTCCTAAGGTTAGTGATTTGTGTTTATGTATATATGTTTACATGAATACATTGTGAACAGTATTTTAAAGAAATTCATATATTTTACAGTTGATGTTGCATGGCACTGTGTTTGCTCGTATGGCACCTGATCAAAAGACACAATTAATAGAAGCTTTGCAAAATGTAGAGTGAGTATTGGTGCTTTTTCATTTTTATATTTTTATGAATTGTAGTTTCATTTTCAAACCTAGAGTGTAACTGATATTTCATGTATATATAATTGTCACCTATGAGATAGGTGACTTTAAGTGCCTCTTTAAAAGAAGCTTATATGCTCCTTTATTTAGCCAAAGTACAGTATATCCACAATACTTTTTCCACGTGTATCTGTGAGGTAGAGTTCATTCACTCAGCTTGTTAGATGTGACTGTAGTTTCAGTAAACAATTATACTTCAAGTTTTAAAGATAGAAATGTTTGCTGAGAGCCTTAGAATTAAGTATAGTAAGGACTGTGTAGGTCCAAGACATTTGTTCTAAACATTAGGAAATTGAGATGCCAAAATAATAAACTGATTTGCCTACTTTGTGACAGAAATAGCACAGTAACCCAGGTCATTTGACTTGCAGGCTGTTGCTGTTTGCAAAGCAGCAGCATGCCTATGGTCTTTGTAATAAAAGGATTTAATTAGTTTTGTTGACCTGTTAGCTCTTCATGATAATGTATTGGAGCCATATTCAGTTAAATATTTATATTTAGAAATTAATCAAAATTTTAATGTAATTTTTGTTTCTTAGTTATTTTGTTGGGATGTGCGGTGATGGTGCAAATGATTGTGGTGTAAGTATAGTTTTTGTGACTTATAGTTATTTCTCTAGCAAAGGTCATATTTGCAAAACTTAACCAGTTTTCTCCTTCAAACCATTAGGCTCTGAAGAGGGCACACGGAGGCATTTCCTTATCAGAGCTTGAGGCTTCAGTGGCATCTCCCTTTACCTCCAAAACACCCAGTATTTCCTGTGTGCCAAACCTTATCAGGTAGTAGCAGACTAAAAACCTTTCCATTACCTATTCATAGCTTGCTATTGTGATATCGGAAAATGTCATCATAGAAAGTAATACAAATTTATTTTCGTGGTATTTTAGTGTATTTGGTCTGAAACTTACTAGCCACAGATTGATTGCTACTCCTCATCTCTTCTAATTCTGCTTTGGCTTTGTTATTTTGGTAAAGTGCTTGTTGTAGCTATTGAATGTTGATGTTCATTTGTCAATATGTACTTGCGGTTTGGAGGAGGAGTTTAAAAAATTCTCATTCACATGCCAACATTCACTTTCATAGGGAAGGCCGTGCTGCTCTAATGACTTCCTTCTGTGTGTTTAAATTTATGGCTTTGTACAGCATTATACAGTACTTCAGTGTTACTCTACTGTATTCGGTGAGTACTGACATTGCTTACAGAGATAACATGTGTTAAGGCATTTAAATGGAGATACTGAGCATGAATGTTTGAATGCATTCATTAATTATGGAACTTACATTAGGAACATCTGTAAATTTGTCTTTACTGTATTTTGAGTAGCAAATAATAAAAAATAAAAAAGTATAAAAAAGAATAAAATCTCAGTCTGGAATAGTATTTTCCATAAGGCTGACAACTTTGGCTGAAACCTTGTGAATAAAAGATGATTGTATTCCTTTTTACTTTAGTGCAGATTAGGCAACTTAGAACTCTTCAAAATGTCAAGTGATGACATATTTTAGAATTGTAGTTAACTGAAGGAGAAAATATGTTTCAGCATTAGTTTGTAGAACTTTGTGCATTTGGAAAAGTGTAAACAGGTGATGTACATAATAAGTACTCCATTGAATTTTATAAAGTGACCTCACTTTAGATTTTTCTCTAAATGAACATTGATGACACCCCAGTGAATCATGAAACTATCCCTTTTTATTACTTGTAAAAAGTATCAGGAGGGATGGTATTAGATATTAAGGAGTTTCAAGATACCAGTTTTCAAGAAAGTTGAATATTGTGATTAAAAGGTTGTGTTTTCTTTTTCTAAAGAAACTTATAAGGTTTTTATTGAATGAATAGAGATGCCACTTATACTAATATATTAAACCGAATGTTTGCAAATTATATTTCACTAATTTCGAAGGCAAATATATTTTAATTTCTGAGCAGGTCCAAATGTCATTTTGAAGTTGTCATTATGGGTGGGGGGTAACCCCAAAACCAAGGAGGAAAAATCTAAAACCAAATAAAAGTGGTATAAAAATAGTGCTATAAAAAATAGTTCCTGAAAACTAATTATGTTTTAAAAATTATTTCATAGATCTTAAGTAACCTAGGAGACTTCCAGTTTCTCTTCATTGATCTGGCAATCATTTTGGTAGTGGTATTTACAAGTGAGTATTTGCTTTCTGATTGCTTTCAAAGCATATGATATTCTGATGTAACTTACTTAAGCTTTGGTGAATTTACATGAACAGTTATAGCACAGTGCATACCTGTTCAGGTTCCCTGTAAATATGTTCTTTTATTACTGGTTATTTTATTTGTCCCATTTGTTTTATTCTCTCTCCATTTTTTTCTGAAATATTTGACAAGTTTGTGTTATTATACTCCCTTTGCCTCTGACCATTTTAGTTTATGTTACCCCAAAACAAAGCATTCTCTTATATAACTAAGCACAGTTATAAAGATCAGGAAATTTAACATTGCTGCAATATTATCTAATCCACAGCCTTTATTTGGGTTTTGTCAGATGTCCTAATGATGCACTTTATACCTGTTTTTTCCCCTAGTCCGCTAGCCCAGGATCTAATCCAGGCTCACAAACTGAAATTGTTATAACATTGAGTTGTCATATCTCTTTAGTCTTCTTTAATCCAGAATAGTGCATTGGTGTTTTGGGGGGCTTCTCGATGTTGACATTTATGAAAGAAAATAGACCACTTATGGGTTTGTCTGATTAATATATTCTCATTAGACTCCAGCTGTGACTTCTTATCAAGAATATCGCAGAAATAATGCTGTGTCCTTCTAGTTACAAGTTATAAGGAGACACAGGTTTTGGTTTGTTCCAGTTTTGATGATGTTAATATCAAGATAAATAATGATGGTAATAGGATATGACCCGTTTAATCAAATAGAATTAACAAGTCATACTTGAAATAAATAGATAATTGGCAGAGAAGGGAAAGCTCTTCTTTACAATATAGTGCTGACTTATAACTATAAAAAGAAGGATAGGCTTAGACCATGGAAAGACCCTAGTCTTACTGACATTTTAGGCCAGATAGTTCTGCTATTTTGTGCTTTATAGGATGCTTACAAGCCTCTGCACACTGGATGCCAGTAATACGTACCAGTTGTGACAACCAAAAATATCTCCAGACATTGCCAGATGTTCTTTGGGGGCCAAAATCATATTGGTTGGGAAACATTAAATTAGACAATCTTTGGTGAGTGCTAAAACTAGTGAATGAGAGTTTGAAGAGGAGCAGGATTTTACACAGTCTCAGTATCTTTATACAAATTACTTATTGATTACAGTGGAGAAACTTGGTGGACATCACCTTAATAAGTGGTCAATGCCTTTTTTAATGTCATTTTTATGTTTATAACAGCTTCAAGCCTTTAATATCTTCTTAAGAAAAAGAAATAATGGTATTATTTTAAAGGTAGCTTTGTAATTAAAGAATCAGAAATAAATTCTTAGTTAAACATGTAAGGGTGGTGGTTTACTTAACAGTTTGTATGCTTACATTTAGTATTCTTTTAACTTGTACTTGTATTTCTCTGAATTTCAATAGACTAAGAAGTACTCCTGATGCATTTTTGAAGAAAGCCTTAATTATTTACATTTACAGATTATTTAAATATGTATGACATCTGGCTTGGCTTTTGGACATTTTTCATAAGATTTGTTAGACAAAAAGAAATTTTTGAAGTCCCTCAGTGAGTCTGATTATATATTTTATAGTGATAAATTTATTTAGAGACAAACCTTTCCTCTTTTCTTTCTCAATATAGTGAGTTTAAATCCTGCCTGGAAAGAACTTGTGGCACAAAGACCACCTTCAGGTCTTATATCTGGGGCTCTTCTCTTCTCCGTTTTGTCTCAGATCATCATCTGCATTGGATTTCAATCTTTGGGGTTTTTTTGGGTCAAACAGCAGCCTTGGTATAAAGAGAGGTATCCACATCCACCGTAAGTTGCTCAATCCATTAAAAAATTTGTATAAAATGTGTGTAACATATATGCATAGAATAAAGTAAGTTTAATAATTTATTTTAAAAGTTTACATAGAGCTTGATTAAAACACTTAAATAATTTGGCCTGTATTTGACTTTAGACCATAGTAACTCCTTTTGTGGGAAGGTGGTCAGGCAAGGTCCTGTTAATAGCTACCAAGGTGGGGATGTTGGATCAGTTTCTTTATTCACTGTAGAGCCTTGCTCTCCTTACCTATAAAATGAAAAAGCTGAAATTAATCTCTAGGGTATCTTCTAAACCTTGAATGTTTGTACTTCTAACTTTTCTGTCCCTGGTTTAGGAGATGACCTTTTAAAACCAAAAACAATCTTTAAAAAGGTATTAAATGGTTCTCCTATTTGTTTATGGGTAGAGTGTAATACATTTTACAAATTAGGATACCATTTTAATGAATTACACTTGTAAGCTATTCACTGAAGTGATTTTGTAGGGTTAAATTTTCAGAAGCAAACAGTTATTTATAGTTTGCTTGATTGAGGGAGGCTGTCTTTAAAAGTTTCAGAAAACTTTAAGAAATTTACCATTACTCTTTGATTACATGTACATATATAAACACTGCACATGAAAAGGAATAGATAGAATCATTCTTAATCTTTCCAGAGTTAATTTGTAGCAGATGAACATTTTGTTACCCCTTGTCTGTGCTTACTGTAGTTAATGTTTTAGTACAGGGTATTGAGGACTAATCATACTTAACTCTATGTGTAGTTGACAGTCCTGCCTACTTGGCAGTAGCGATGAGAGAGAGCCATAGCCAGAGACTGTAGAGGGCCAACTCAGTGCCAAGTGCTTTGCTAGACATTTACACAAGTCATCTTCCTCACTCCCCACAGTAACCCTGGGATGGAGAATGTAGTATCCACACTATAGGTCAGGAAATGGGCTCAGAAGTTAAATTGTATTTCCTGTTACAGCTAAAAAGTGGTAGAAGTCAAACCCAAGGTCTGTTTACCCTTACTATGCTAAAGTTACGCCTAAAATTTAAAAAGTGAGAGAGAGTGGTGAAAAGTGAGAGGATCTTACTAATTATGAAGTTTCTTACTTCTGATTTTTTAACTGATTGGAATGTGACTAAAGAGAAAAAGCCCTTACTAATCTTCCACCTGTTGTATGTGTCTTACCGTGATACTGTTGGATTTTTTCCTATAAGCTTATTTCGATCATAGTAATTCAAAGTTAAGTTAATACTGGTTTCTTTTCAGAAATGGGTATTGTGTTTAGTAATATAAATTTTTTTTGTGTGTTTTAGTATTTGTAATACAACAACAAGCCTATATTGGAATTCTTCACATTTGTACAATGAAACCAAATTTGATACACATAATATACAAAATTATGAAAATACCACAGTGTTTTTTATCTCCAGTTTCCAGTACCTCATCGTGGCAGTTGCCTTTTCAAAAGGAAAACCTTTCAGGCAACCTTGCTATAGGAACTGTAAGTTTGATCTTTATTGTGGTTTTCACTCTGCTTCCCTTCTTTAAAATATAAGAGTAGAGTCAAAACTGTCCTTTCAAAGTAAATTGATCTTCACAAATAGAATGAACCTTGTGATTTAGGTATTTATTGTCTTGTTTTATTTTCATGGAAGCTGCCACCCTAAGTTTAAAATTAAAGCCACCAGTGCTAAGCATTTCCGGTTTTCACTCTTATTAACTTCTGGCTCCAGCTTTTATTTTTACAACCTATTGCAGAGAGAGTTAGAATTGGAAACAGGAACAGAGGTTCCTCAGTTGGAACTGTGGGTACTATACTTTCCTTCTGGTTAGTCTGCACAGCACCAGCTGCCTTTTCTTCATCTTTGACACTCATACAGCTATTGTTTACCTGGAATCCTTCATTTCTGTCACCTTTGCATCCACTGCAGAAGGGACCAATAGAATGGAGGCTTGTGCCTATGTAGATTTGTCTGCCCGTGGCAATAGGAGATAGCATTTTGATTGATTGCAATTAGGGTTTATGGGAAAAATACTCTACATAAATTAGCAGTTTAAAAATAATTTAGAATATACTAATATATCGACAAATCTGTGATACTAATATATGAAACAGCTTAATTTTTTTCAAATGGAACTTTCGACTTTTGCAGTATCTTGCAGTTAAAACAGTTACTCTTTTGCTGTAGTTGTGAGAAATGCCACTGTTTTGGTTGACAAACTGTCAGGTCACAAGTTTCCGTATGTCACAGGAGTAATAACTACTGTAGCATCTCTGTGTCATGTTTGAGTTTACAAAGCATTTTCATATACATGATTTATTCTTTATCTCTACCTTCTGTGGTTTCTAGGGCAGGTTTTATTATATTTTAAGCAGTTAAGATGATTCAAAAATAAGTATCCATTATATTGAAATGCTTTGGCTTTTTTTTTTTTTTTTTTTTAAGAACTGGTATTTCTTATCTAAGAAATAGAACTGAGAACCATATGAGACCATGCTTGGAACAAAAAGCCTTCCTGAGAAGGTTTATCACTGTATTTCTAAGAGGGTTTATAAGTATAGTTAACTTATTATAAGGTGAATTTAATTAAGGTTGACATATATATTTTAGTTTAGTTCAGTATTTTTAAATTTCAAGGACATATTGGAGATGCCCAAGGGTAGCAAAAACATCTATTAGAGAGCAATGCTTTCTTTATATAAAGCAAACTGTTGTCCAGAGTAGTAAACAAGACAGCAACATCAGCAAAGTTAATTTTAGAGACCTAAATAAATCCACCCTATTCATACTTTTCCAATAAAAATAAAGAGAGAGACTATTAGTTGCCCATTTTTTAAATGAATATATTATTTGGGAAACTTTAATAAAATCAGAGCTTAAGATATTTTGTATTTCCATTTAATTTCCAGTTGACTCAAATAAATAGTAAGCTCAGTTGACCACTGGACTGGTTTTTTTAAAAACATGTCTTAAGAATTATACTTTAGCAAAAATATAACAACAAAACTTTGTCCTTTTTATAAGCTGTGCATGTCTATCAGTTAAATTGAAGTGCATGCTGTCATAAAACATGCCTCCAGAAAAACACAAACAGCAAGAGTAAAATCAACATATACATATTTTGCAAATTTTCATGTCTTGGCTGTTATTAGACTCCTCTAGTCTTGGAATATAGTTGTTACTGAAGAGTAAAGAAAGAAAACTAGAAAAGAAAATAGAAATGACAAAGTATAACTGTATGGAGTAATATATTAGGTAAGGTATGAATATAGGTGGAAGTGAATGGCTAAAAGGTTAACGTTTTACTAGAGCTGACATTAGCTTTTCATTTTCTCCTACAGAATAGAAGTTAACAGTTCTTTGCTAGGACTTAGTAATTACTGTTCTTTATAACTAAACAATGTAGTATTTTAGGTCTACTTTCTTATTATTTTTAAAAATTAATCTCAATCCTAGGCATTTAAGGCATTCTTTCTAGAGTTTTTTGGTCTCTTCTGTTGGTTCAGTTTGAATGTAAATAGAACCTTATTTCAGTCTTTGGTTACCCGTTTTCAACTTCAGCTTAACCAAGTTATATGTTCTCATTTGACTGTGTGATCATTTCAAGGGCCATGACAATATTGACTTGATTCTTCACTCCTTTAACTAGGCATAACTTATGGGGATTTGGCTTCAGTTTTTGCTAGTTTCTTCCTTGATTCCCTACAGTTCATTGCTATAAAATCTAAGTCTATGAAGGCATTATTACTGAATTTGTTGGAGCGGATACCTATCCTTCAGGATAACATGGCCTTTCAAAGACAAGTAACTGAGTAAGGGAGGGGAAATAGGAATAAAAAGATGTGAACTTTGTGGTTGTGGATCAGAAGATCCCAGTTAATATTTTTGAGGAAGGAAAAGAGAGGTATATGTTAGAGCCATTAGTGAGTGTTGTAGGCTTACTTAACTTTATGTAAGGTTTTATTTCTGAGTCACTTAACTAAAAGGGAATATGAAGGAGATCCTTTATGGTAACTTATTTTGGTGTCATATTCCATCAGAAGGATCTGGTATCATTAACAACAAATCTGTGATACTATTACTTGGGATATACTTAATAATAACTAGAATTTACCTGTTGCTTTGCATTTTAAGTAGTTAATTCTACTCTTTCCTATGGGAACCTCATCATATCACAATTATATAGTTAAAAATAATTTGACTCTAAATGATTCGTTCTTGTTCACATGGCTTTGTGGCAAAATCTGAATCTTAGAAACATTCTAAAGCTTAAGAAACATTCTACCTCCAGTCCCCAGTCACCACCAACACCGAAGTTGTTTTGATAGCTGTCTTCTAGTGAAGAGTATTACCTGCACTTCAATAGGATTATTAAGGAATGATTGACAATGCTGGAGAATCCAGGAGCTGAGAGCATGTCTGCTAGAAACTCTTATCTCTCTTAATGAATACCTGATTTTCCTATTCTTGGTTGAAATCCTTCCTGATCTTTTCATTTTAGTGGTTATATAAATCTGCCAGCAATCCACCTTCCCTGTCAAATTCCTTTGAATAGTGCCTCTTTTTCTTCCCTGGGTAAAGAAAAGATTCAATTACTTATTTTTTCCTTCACATGGAAATCTTGGCACATTTTTAGAAGAGTAATCAAAGAGGGTGGCACTAGGGAAAAGACAGGTGAAAATTTGAGAAACACTGGTTGAGGTGGACACAAGTTTTTTTGAGACCGGGTATATATGTTTTTTCATGTCAGGAAATAGAATCTATTTTTGCTTATAGTTTAACAGTGCAATAGAATTTGAAAAGCAGTCAATATGGGCTATTTATTGAAACAAAGCATTTCAGTCTCCATGTTTCTCTTTAGCATTTTTATTCTGACAATTTCTTTTTGTCCTTTTCTGATTTTGTTTTTCATTTGTTGTTTGTGTCTTCTAGCTAGCACTTTCCACTTTTCCTTTAACTGACTGTAATAACTGTTTGAATGACTATATGACTTATGTATTACTTCAGTTGCTATACTTATTGAATAGAATGTTATATTTCCTGTTTGCAGTCCAGTGGAATATTTTAAAAATAAAAATCTAGAAAAAGTTGCTTTTTTATGTAATGTGGGTCCTAAATTTTTTATCCTGTTGGTCATGGGTCATAGTTAAAAGTTTCCCTGTTTTTTGAGACTTATATGCATTTTCTGAGCTGTTTGTACTTGAGGTATCTAACATTTGTATACGTGAATTTATTTTAAAGATAAATTGAAATGCACATAGCCAAGTCTTGAGATACAAGATTGAATGTGTAGTTATTAAAAATACAACTTTGTGTTGTACTTTGAAATAAATGATTCTTTTTTCAAAAGTCAAAAATTGTTTCCTCACTTTTGTCATGAATGTTAGAATAACTTTGAGCCTATGCTGCTAGAACAATAATTTGTGAATTTTATATATTGGGTTGATTATCTTATAAAGCTAGCTATCTGGGATAAATACAGATAAATTCCATAAATGTCTGTCTCTTATTTTTATGAATGCTAATTATTTTCACATCACATAAATGGGATTGAATGGTATATTGGGACTGAATGATATATCGTATTCTAGGAAATAACATAGAGCATATACTTTATCAACCTAAAAAGAAATAATTCAAATCCAAATTTAGGATTGGCTAATTACCAGTTGTTATTATATACATTTTTATTTAGAATAACTTTCTAAAAAAACTTTTTACTTTCTTTTTCAGATTTTTTTGTTGTATCTGTGATTATTTTGTATGTGTTCATATTATTCATCATGTTGCATCCAGTTTCCTCTGTTGACCAGGTTCTCCAGGTAAGGCTTAAGCACATCAGTTATTACTGGTTATCTGAGGAGCGATAGTATTTGGAATAGAACTAAAAAGATAGTAATAGGCAGGGAAATATTATTATGTGACACATTAGTATTTACTCAGCCATATGAGATGACTGGACGTTTTCTGTGACTTATCTCTTCCCCTCCTCTACTCTTATGTTACTGGGGAAAGAGACTGACTTGTTTTGTTTTTTCCCCCAGAATCTCTTCTTTCCAAATTTTTAAAGGTGTAGTGATATTAATCCAAAGATACCTAGAAAGAATGAAGAACATAACTGAAACAGCAGTTTTTATTGACTGCACCTATTACTTTTCTGTTCTTCAGTTTTTGCTTCTGGTTCTGTTTCTCTTTGTCTACAAACAAATTAATGTTCCTTTGTCTTTAAAAGTACAAAACTTAGATCCTCTTACTTGATCTAGAGAAACTAGAAGTAGTTATCGAACTACTTGAATAGTCTGCATGTGCTGCCTCTTCACTGTATTGAGTTTTTCATCTTGTCATTAAAAGCTTTATGAAAAATGAAATCAAAAGAATATACACACATATTTAAGTTGTTAAACCTAATAGTGACAAAATAACACCCATGAATCCCATATCCAACTAAAAAAGATAACATTACTGACAACAGTAAGGCACTATTGTGTACCTTTCTCCAGACACGATTCAGGAGCTACAGGAGCCACTATTCTCATTATTTACCTCATTATCTGGCTTTTCATTATATACCTAATACATATGTGTGTGTGTGTGTGTGTGTGTGTGTGTGTAGTTATAAAAGATAGTTTGCTTGCTTTTGAACTTTATGAAAATAGTATCTTGCTATTTGTATTTTTCTGTGACTTTTTTTCCCTTTCAGCATTATTTCTAAGATTCATTCATGTTAATACATGCATTTCATTTTCAGTGCTACATGTATTCCATTGTAAGAATATACTATAATTGATTTCTCCATTCTGTTGGTAAATAATTGGGTTTTCTGTAGTCTTTTCCTGTATTAACAGTTGCTGGTATGAACTTTCTTGTACATATCTCTTAGTGTATGGGAGTGAGTAATGGTATACCAATGAGTAGGGATGGGGCAGTTCATCCCAGGTACAATGTACAAGCAATGAGGGGGTGGTATAATGCCACAGAGGATTTAAAAACTGCTGAAAGCCCACTAAACGACCATCTGCTGTTAAATATCACTATGTGCTGGAAATTCTAAACAGTGTCAGTGATAACCATTCCTTCCACTACCATCCACCCTACCTTGGTATACCACAGGGGGCCAAAGTTCTTCTGCTGTGTTCTAGTATAATTTTGAGCATGTACTCCTCAGCTTTCTAAGATGTGCCAAGTTGTTTTCCAAGATAATTGTACCAGTTTATATTTCCATCACTGTATGAAATATTTTGTTCTACATCATTGCCAACACTTGTCTTATGGGTATAAAATGCCATATCATATTGACTTTAATGTGCTAATTAATTTTAAATTGCTAATGTGTTTGATCACTTTTCATATGTTTATTGGCTATTTTTATTTACTATGAATTGCCTATTCAAGCCTTTTGCCCATTTTTTCTAGTAGATTGTTGTCTTTTTATTCTTAGGAGTTTTTAATGTATTTGGCTATAAATGTGATAATTTCTTCCAGTTTATGGCTTGTCCTTTTGATTTGTTTATATCTTTTTTAAAAACATTTATAATTTTTACAGTAATCAAGTTTAACAATTTCTTTATGTTCTGTGCTTTTTATATCTTAATTTGGCAGACTTATCTATCTCAGGGTTATAGAGATTCTTCTTTCCTTACAATTAATTTTATGATAGCCTTTGAGATGGGGATTAAATTTCCTTGTTTTCCTAATGAATACCCATTTGCTTCAGTATTATTTATTGAATAGTCTCCTCTTTTCATGGTGTTCCTTCAGTGATACCTCTGTGCTCTCTGTTGTCCGTGTATAGACTATCAACCAGATAGCGGTTTTTTGTCTTTAGCTCTGTCTTCCAGTGTGGCAGTTCCATATCGTCCAAATTACTACGACTTCCTAAGAAGTTTGGATAGATGGCTGGGCAGGACCCCTACCCACACCACACATTGTTGTTCATCATGATCTTTTTGGCTATTCTTGAGATTTCTTCCTCCATGTAAATTTTAAGTTTAGCTTACCAAGTACCAAGAAAAGTAAAGCCCTCTTGGAATTTTTATTAGAATTACACTAGGTTTATAAATAAATTTTGGTGAGAATTGATTTAGTCTCCTTTTCCATGAACAATATCTGTTTCAACCTTCTTGAACATCTTTCAATAGAGTCTGACAGTTTTTTCTCTAAAAGTTTTTATGTAAGTTTTTGTTAGATTTGCTTTTAGAGTATTACAGTTTTTGTTTCTGTGATAGGCATTTGTTTAAAATTACGTTTTCTGATTCTTTAATGCTAGTGTGAACACTGCAGTTATTTTGGGTACTCATCTCATATCCAGCAATCTTGTCAAACTGTACTCTTAAAAATGTTCATATTCTCTAGTATTTTGTTTTAAATAGTCATTTATACATAATAACAAATGTTTTGTTTCTGATGTTTCAATCCTTAATGCCTTCTGTGTATTTCTTTTGTCTATTAACCATATTAATGTTGGTTGTAATGATAGCAATATGCTTGTCTTATTCCTGAGTCTAAAGGGAGTGGTCTTGATATTTCACCATGAGGTATATTGGGGGCTCTAGGTTGCTGGATATATACGTTTATTGGGTTGAGGAAGTTGCCTTCTACAGTTTTGTTAACATAATAAATAGATGTTTAATTTTATCTAATGCTTTTTGTACACTACTGAAATGATTACAGGTTTTTCTCTCTGGAGAAAGTAGTAAATTAGAGTTGACTGATATTCAAATGTTGAACTAATACTGCATTCCTAGAATAAATCTAATTTGTTCATGATGCATTCTTCTGTATATGCTCTCATTTGTTTTGCTATGATTTTACTTTGGATTTTTGCTTCTTTTTTTGCATAAGTGAAATCAGACTTAATTTTCCTTTCTTCCAAGACATTGACATGTTTGGGTATCAGAGTTGAAGAGCTTTATGGAATGAGTATTCCATTTCATGGACTTTTCCATAATTTAATCCCCTTTGAATTGAATTTAGGTTGCTCCTGTTGTTTCACTATTATAAAGAATGCTGTATTTCAAGTCCTTACAGACTCCATTAAGAAGGACAAATGTCTGTTTAGAGTTTAAATGTACAGAAGTGGAATTGCTTGGTCAACATATCTAGAATTTTAATTTTTATAAATGCTGTGTTATTTAACTTTGAAGAGGTTGGCAGTTTATAGTCCTACCAGCAGTATTTGAGCATGTTTCCCTCCTTGCTTCCTTGAGGTACTTAGATAAGTACTTTAAGCCAAAGAAGAAAAAGCAGAACACATATTTGTCTCCCACTACATGTCTTCTGCTTCATAGCCAAAGTATTTCTTGGAAGAGTGCTATATTCAACTCATCACCTTCCTGCCACACTCATCATTGGCTTCTACTCCTGTCAGTCCACTGAAACTGCCCTTGCCAAGGCCATTAACAACCTTATTGTTAAGTCCAATGGACTTGTTCCCTTTATTTTTATTTTTTCCAGTAAGTTGAATACCCAGCAGTTTGAGACAAGTTAGCCGTAGCCTCGTTCTTGAGACATTCCCCCCGAATTTCATGATGCTTTCTTCTCTTCCGATTTTTTCCTACTTCTGTGACTCTTCATTCTCATTCTCCATTGTGGTTCCAAACCCTCTGCCTGTTCCTTAAATGTTAGTGTTCCACACATTTCTGTCCTTTTCCCCTGTCTTACCCTGTATGTTTCTAGTGATCTCATCTGTAGTCATGACTGTATCCATAGTTGCCATCTGTTTGTTAAAGCCTCTTAACTTTATTCCCTTAACCTAACTCTCACAACTGAACTTCAGACCTGAATATCCATTGACATACTGAATATTATATGCAATGATCAGTTCTCTCATTAAACATTTTTAAAACTAAGCTCATCATATTCTCCCTCAACCCTGCTGTCTCTTTTTCTTGGTAACCACCATTTATCCACATCAGAAGTATGTATGTATGTCCTTAACTTTTTCCTTTTCTTTTCATAGCCAGTCTGTTAAGAATCTCTGCTTGCTTATTCTGAATTGCTTTCTCTCTTTTTGCCAATCCCACTTGTGCTACTTAAAAGGAAACTTTTTCCTGTACTCAAAACACTTATGACACCAAATGTGTGGGAGTTGTTTCCACATCAGCCAATTCTCCAACTCTCTGGACACCAACTGGGTGTCTTGCAGTTCAGTTCTGACACTAACTACCTGGAGTTAGCTCAGACCCTGCAGGTTAAGGGCTCAGTCTGACAAGACTGCCCCCACTTCAGACATTAGTAGCAAGTCCCAGGTGATCACCCATAGTTCTGACCAACCAGCTATAAATTAGGTTTTCCACACTCCCCTTCTCAGGTTCAATAATTTGTTGTCATAGCTCACAGAACTCAGGGAAACAATTACTTATGTTTATTGGTTTATTATAAAGAATATAATAAAGTATAAAAATCAAACAAATATTCATATTTGACCTGATTGTTTATAGTTCATAATGCGTGATCAAAACCGAAAGTTTTTGTGATGACTGCCCTTGTACTGTTCACCATGTAAGAACTTATTCACTATGTAAGAATTTGTTGACCATGTAAGAACTTGTTTGTTATGCTTCAGAAGATTGGAGACTGACAAGAATTAGGCTTGGGGTGGATTAATGATTGTGCATTGAGCATTGACTCCCCTATACAGAATTTTATTGTTGTTAACAACCATTTGATCAATAAATTATGAGAGATGCCCTCGCAAAAAAAAAAAAAAGAATATAATAAAGGTACAGATGTATAGCCAGATGTATAGCTCAGGTATATAGGCTGAGGTCTGGAAGAGTCCTGGGTGCAGGAGCTTCTGTCCCTGTGGAGATGGGATGTACCATCTTCCCAGTCTATAGAGGTGTTGACTGACCCAGAAGCTCTCCAAACTGTAGTTTAAGGGTATTTTTAGGGAAGGCTTCATGATTGGCATGATCAGTTACTAACTCAATCTTCAGTTCCTCTCTCCTCCCTGAAGGATGAGGGCATGGGGTGGAAAGTTCCAAGCTTCTAATCATGGCTTAGTCTTTTTGGTGACTAGCCCCTATCTGGAAGCTATTTAGAGCCCACCAAGAGTAGCCTCCTTAGAAAAAAAAACATTCCTGATAGCCAGAAAATTCTAGGTGATTTAGAAGCTCTGTGTTAAGACGCTCCTATCACCTCCAATACTCAGGAAATTAAAAGTTTTAAGAGCTCTTCGTCAGGAAATTAGACAAAGACCAAATATATATTTCTTAGTATGCCCCCACCACTTCTATTTTGATAGTCTAAACTTGTCTGGGTCACTATAGCTGTATCCACCCCTCAAATCCTTCTTGGAGTCACGGGTGCTTTTCTAAAATATATTAGATCATATCGCTGCTCGACATGTAGCACAGTATATTAGGTACTCAGTAAATATTTTCTGACTAAAAGGATGAATGCATGAGTGGGATTTGTTTTTCTTTTATTTTTTTAGGCCTTAGAAATTAATCACAGATTTCAAAGTGAAAACTTTGATTGTATTTCTTAGACCGATCTCAATAGTTCTTTTATGAATTTGTCTTTATAACAGTTTGAAATTTTGAATATACTTCGTTATCAGATCAGTATCTGCCTCATTGTTTTAAAGACAGGGTTTTATTCTAAAAATAGGGACTTCTTAGAAATTCCTAATCAAGTAGAGCATGGGATTAGTCTGAGTGAATAGTATTTGATTCTAAGCTCAGCTATTTATTTTTAACCTTGATCACTTAAACTTTATCATCTGAAAAGTGGATATAATATCAACCTTGTGGCATTGTTGACAATTGAACAGGTAATGTGTGTGAAGGTGTTTGTTATATAACAGGAATTTAAAAAGTACTTTTGGAAATGAGGTTATAAAGCTATAATATCAACTATAAACTACACATTTAACTTGAAATTTTTTTGTCTTACAGATAGTGTGTGTACCTTATGGGTGGCGTATAAATATGCTCATGATCATTCTTGTCAATGCCCTGGTATCTATCATGGTGGAGGTAAGCACTTCAGATAATCAGATGGGCCTTGCTGCTTTGGGATTCTTGTTGATTTAATGTATGATGGGGGAAAAGGACAGGTAACATCATGGAAGTTTAGAAAGAGTTTTAGGTTCATTTTAGTTAAATTCATTTAGCCTTCTTTTCTGACTTTTTCCATAAGCTGTAGTCATTATTAAGGGATGTGACTTAGCTGCACTCATACAGATAGGTGAAAATAAGCAGTGAGATTGCAAAGATTAGTGATTGATAGAAATGAGAGAAGATTGGTACTCACGTGGCCCATAACTGGTACATCAGTGGCCATGAAATCAGAGTGGGTGTGTACCACCCAAGTCCTGTGATGTACAATAAAAACTTCCATGGAAGGGAGGAAAAGAGGGAGGGGAGCTTTCTCCATGAAGTGTAGTAAATTTTAATAAGAGAGTTTATTTAAAGTATAAAATAATGATCATTATGAACCTACCTAATCTCAGCATTGATTACTGGAATTTCTTCCTTGATATTTTCTTTTAAGCTTCCTCCAGAGGTCTGAAGTACTTTTTGATCCCACTGTATACGAGTAGTTACTGTCCTATTAGGAATGCCTTAGTTTAGCTTCTGTAAAAGGAGCTCGTAAGTTCTCATTTGCTGCTTGTTAATAAAATTTTGTCTGTTCTCAGAACTGTTATTATAATTCACTCCTACAGTAGCAATATATGATACAGGAGAAGGAGATAAAAATTGGAATTTCTAAGTTAAGGGTTTCATAGGGCAGACTTTTGAATTAAAATTAGGTAATTTGTGGGGAAATATGTATACTTTAGTGATAATAGGTCTAGATTTGGAAATTATACTTAATTTGTTACCTTGCTAAAAGATGACTTAGTATTTAAATTTGGGCCATTGTAAGCAGCATGTATATATATTATGGTACTGATCTTTTAAAGTTGCCCAGTGGAATGTATTTTTGCTGTTTTATGGACAGTAGAAAACATACCCCGGTATTGTATTTTAAAAGCATTCCTTTTTCTAGTCTATCTTTTCACTCAATTGTTATTTAAGATAATAGTTTTCTTAAACAAAATTTTTAGGGAGTCCTTTCATAAACCCTCTTAATTTATTATTCTTGATGACTAACAAAGGAATTATTTGTGTTGGATTCTGATGAAATCATACTCATTTGTAGATAATGTGTATAGATATAAATATATATTTCAATGACAGTAACTCATTGTTAGGAAAAAGACTGCAGATTATAAGCATTATTTTAATGTAGGAAAGACCCGAAGGTTATACAAAAGCCATAGTTTGTGGAAAATTTAGAGGGTCTCATTTTTTCAATTTTATGATGATTTATATTTGTTACAGAAGTTCTGTTATACTTTATCCTTTTGCAGTATTAACTGATACTATCTATATGAAAACCAAGTCATATTTTTCACTAATGATGCAGCATTGTGTGAGTCTTTTTAAATATGCACATTAATAAAGAATGACTTAGTCATTTTTAATTCTTAACTCACTGGAATATCTCTCAGAACTTCTTCCTTGACATGGTCCTTTGGAAAGTTGTGTTCAATCGAGACAGACAAGGAGAATATCGCTTCACCACACAGCCACCACAGGTTGGAAATCAGCACTTACTCTGAATTCTTCACATTTACCTAGGCTCTCTTAGTTGTGTCCTCTGCATTCTGTAGGGTTGTGTTCTGTTCTGTGTTGCTTCAGCCTTTTTCCCTATGCCTGGCATTTCATTTGTTTAGAGTCCTAGAAAGTTCATGGCAAACATTTGTTACAGGCTTTTCAGGACTGAAGAAATTTCATCAGTTTCTTTTCCATTCCAATCCTTATCTTGTGTGTGTCTAAAGGTCTTAGCCTCAGTGGTGGTAATTTTTCCTTTTTTCTCTGGCTTAAATTTTATGTTGTTAATCTTCATGAGTCCCATTAGAAGCTAAATGAGACCCCTGTAAACAGAGTTATGAGGTGGGAATTGTTCTTCATGGATCAGAATCCAAAGATTGAAATTTTGAGGAATAATTTCTGATTTACTGTTAGTTACTGTGCTTTAATTTTGGGTGGGTTTTTGGCTTTCCCCCACATATGTGTCTCGTCATTCAGAAAAATTTTCGGGGAGACAGTGCCTGTTTTTGTACAAACCATGGTTTAGAACTTTTTACTTGGATCCACTAAGTAGCCTACTGTTTGAAAGCTCTGCAAGCTTGGTGGTAAAAAGAAGAGAAACATAAATATGCATATGAATAAAACCCATTCCTGATGTTAGGATGTTGAAGTATAGTTCTTGATAGAAGTATAGGTTAGTCTTAATTTTTAAACCAATACCATTGAATCAACTCTTAGCCAACATTTTGGGTATAGAGAATTTGTGAGAATAAAATCTCACCTCATTATCTGACCTATTGCTATTTGTAAATGGATGATATATGCTTTATGCATGCATGCTCTAAGCCTTTCACTTATCCTGAGACATAAGGAAACTTGTAGAGTTTAAGAGGATTCCCTGGCATTTCTGAGTTGAGTTACTCACTTATTTTTAGCCACCTTTTACCTGAGTAGTAACTTCCTGAACTTTACTTTGGAATTCTGCAGGCTCAATGCCCAGTGTAGTATCACAGGATCACTTTGTAAGAGAGGTCCTATAGGATGTCATTTCCTTTTCTAATGCTTCATGATTGGTAGTGACAGTTTCATAATGATGGGATGAGTCTAGAATCAGCTTTAATTTCTTTATGTCAAAGCAGTGTGATGCCCAGTTGTCTCCTTAGTAGTGGGTATAACCAGAGCAGTATTAGGGGCTTATGTCCTTAAGCTATATCTACCCTGTATCTATATATTTTTTCCTTTTGGTTACTTCAGCACCTCCAGGATCCTCCCAATCTGAAGGTATTTATTTGTAACTTCATTTTATACATAAAGAAACAACATTCAGTGGATTTGCCAAGGTTGTTTATCTGATGAGTGGGAGAGTTGAGAGTTGAAACCAGGCATTCTAATTTCAAGAAGAGTGATTCTTCCACTATGCAACGCTGCCCCACATACATCATTTTTGGGACCACGGAGAGGTAGATTAATATAACAAATAACAAATCAAAATGGAGACAGACAATAGTGTTATCAGTACCTTTTTATGTTAGACATTATAATGAGACATCTTGTATACATTCTAATTCTTAAAACAACCTTATGAGATAGGAATATCTTTAGTTTTTCTATCCTAGTTTTCACAGATGAGAAGCAGTGGTTTCAAATTCAGGTTTATCTGGACCCAGGGCCATAATATTCCTATAACAAAAAGCCTCCATCTGTTCGTTAAAGACCAAATAAACTTTTAGATGTTATTTTTTTAATAGTAGATCTTTGCATTATGTTCTACTCAGCCCACCGAACACTCATCCAGCTAACCTAATTTAGATACGGGAATTATTTTTACCTAATAGTACTTAATTTCCCATAGTGATTCTTTTTCTTGATGCTCAGTGGCCTCAGTAAATGTCTGTTGAATCAAATTGAAAGCTGGTTAAGTAAACCATTTGCAAATAATCAAAGGTAAAATTTCTTTGTAGCTAATTATTTTTTCCTGTAATGTTCTTTAGCAGCCCCAGATGTTAATAATTCTCTGACAAAGGAAGATTCTTGAGCTATCAAGGATTTTCTTCCCTGACCTCTACTCATTGAGTTTTAGTGGAGGGCTCCTATTTGAGAAGGTCTGTGCTACATATCTCTAATAAGTATTTGTGCCTGTCATGTGTCTGGTAAACTGAGGCCACTTAGTGGTAGATGTAGAACTAGAATCCTAATATATGTAGTTTGATCCTGCCTGAGGATTTGTTCCTGAGTATGTTTTCCTTTTCAGGGAAAAAAAAATCAGGTATTAGTTGTAGGCTACTTAGAACATTATTTGAGCTTTTAAAGATAGAATGTTAATTCTGATTGTCTTTATTTTATATGAGGATTGGTATGGAAGGAGATTTTAATGAAATCCACTGTACCATTACAACATTTTCCCCCCCAAGCATGGCCTTATATTTTAATGCTACCCATTAAGAGATTTCCTAAAAGACACACCAAGAATGAACTAGCAATGGGGTTCTGGAATGAGCAGCTTGGAATGATCTAAGAAGCAGGAGAATTTAGCTGTAGATCTTTTTGAAAGCTCTCTATGGTCTCTCTGCTGGAGTGTGGTAGCCTTTTTCCTTTTCTGAGGGATACATTTGGTTATTTGACCACTCCTTTGGAGCCAACCAAAAGATCCAGGTGCTATGGTTACTGTGTTCTGCTTCAGGGAGGTAGTCCTGGGTGTTGGGGAAACCTCTGCTCATTCTAAGCCCATCATTCTAAGATGCTTCAGCTTCCATGCTGCCTTGTCGCACAGTGTTTGCCTTTCTCCTCTTGCCACCATCATCTCTCCAGCATGCCTGTAGCACCTTTTATGTTCTTTGCCAGTAAATTATATTGAGGATGTTTGTGTTTTTAAACTAACCTAAGCTTGCCTATTGTGTATTATGTGTGTATGATATTTGGGGGAGTTGAGGCACAGAAACAAAATATGTTCTAAAAACAGCAGAAGCGGGATCATTAGTGTTTCTTGTGACTTGATTTGTGTTTTCTGAATTATAACTAGTGTACATTGCTTTTATAGGTACATGAGGATTTCTTTTTTTATAACATGCACCTTGATGCAGAATGAATACTAGTCAATTGTGATTTTGTTTGCAGTGAAATTAGTTTTAGTTTAATTGCTTACCTCACTTTCCACAGGTAGGGAGGTAGGGAACAGATTTTGGTGTGTGTGTGTGTGTGTGTGTGTTACATTTGAGTACACTGGCTGTGACTTTCCTTAACTCAGCCTTCTATGCAGTACCCTTCAACCAGCTCATCTGGGCACAAGCCTATGTGTTCTGCTTTTTTTTCTAAGTCAGCATTCACCATTAGCCTTTTCCTGTGATCCTTTAACAGTGCCACATGCTGTAAAATAAAAAGTGACAGCTTTCAGATTGATTTAGGAACAATGATCTTTTCTGCAATTAGACTGAAACACCTTGGGAAAAAAACTGATCCAAGTAATGAGCCATTACCTCAGATTAAATATTAAGGTTTGTTGTGGATGTGCCTACACTGGAAAGGAATTCTTTGGATCACCTGAAAAATCTTGTGTCTAGTCTCTTATGAATCCTAATGATAAATGTTTTCTTGTGGACTTCTTTTAAGGTGATGGTCATAGCTCTTGTTAGTTATGACAACTGCTAGTTGAATAATCTTCAAAATTGTATTCCTCATCCCCGGAATATAGTTACTGGTGAACACAGTTTTTGCCCTTAAATTCTTCGTACAGGGCAGCTTTCACTGTGTTTTGTTGATAAAGTAAGTAGAGGACCTTTAAAGGCACTTAGTTCTTGTTTACCATGCTGTCAGTGCTACCATGGGCCCACCCCACAGTTCTGGAGAAGTGAAGAGTAGTAGATTGCTGGTGGTTTGACTAAGGTGAGAAGGTGTACCAAGTCAAAGTATGACAAAGTTTTAAATAGTTTTCATTTTAAAGTTATTTTCGATGTTAACCATTGGCCAATTTAGAAACATGTTTTCAAAACGTGTTATAGCAAATTTGCCCATTTTGATTATGAAGATGTTTTGGGGGTTAACATTGGAATGTCCATCTCAGTTATGTCATGCTTCTATTTTGTGAGATTACTTGAGATTAGACTCAGGTGTAGCCTGGGTTTTATGTTCATGGCAAAACAAAACAACCTGGGATTTAAATTTTGTTTTGGAGAAGGAGCAGCCAGTATAATTAAAAATTATTCTTTGGAGGTTACTAACTACAAGTCTCAGTATAGTCATTGAGTTTTATTTCATTCATATAGTTCAGATTTCAATAAAGGCAAATTCTGAGGGACTTTGCCCTCAGAAATTTATATTTCTATATAATAACCAGGGACTCTGATTTCTTCTTCTCTAAGAATTACTTATCTAAGATCATTTTCACTAAAAATGTCAGGATTGATCAGAAGGATTTCAGTGACAGCAGAGCTTTTTATAATGGAATAAAACTTAAGAAATAGTGCTTGCTTTACACCTTTCTATTTACCTCTTCCCAGCAGTTGAGCACCAAGAGAAACCATCATTGTAAAGTGCTTTTTTATAGTAATGAAAATGTGCTTTTAAAAAAAGTGATTGACATTAAATGTGATCTAATTCTAATTTTGATGTACCAATATTTTCATCGTTTTGAAAGGTGGTATAAACAGTAACAATGATATTTTTACGCTTCTTTCTTCCAAAAATGATCAGGTGGCTAAGTTGATAGGAGCAATAGTACCAAAAGATAGTTTGGGATAGAATATGAGGGTTTCCATATTAAATATTAAAAATGTTTTCTCTTTCTGGATAGTTTAAAGTTATTCTTAATACATTAGGTGTTGTGAGTTATAGAATCATAGAAACCAGATAGGCAAGTTATTTTAAGAATATATCTATAAACAAGAGGATAGGTACATAAAACTAAATGAAACAAATTATATTGATAACTAAAAAATCTAATCTTAAAAAATACTGTTCCTAAATAATTGAAAGCTGCCTTTTTTTTTACATGGATATTTTTTCATCTGTCATGCTCAGAAGTCATTTCCTCTTTATTTTTCTGCATTATTGTACTATGTTTTAAGAAACTTGTTAAAAAACAAGCTGTCCTTATCTTACTGTGCTGATGGATAGTGACTGCAGTTGGGTGTGGGGGGGGACTTGATAACATGGGTGAATGTTGTAACCACAGTGTTGCTCATGTCAAACCTTCATAAGATTGTATATCAGTGATACCTTAGTTAAAACAAAACAAAAACAAGCTGTCCTTAATTTACTAGGGTATTCTTCTTTTCCCTTATTTTCTTAGGAGTCAGTGGATCAGTGGGGAAAATGCTGCTTGCCCTGGACCCTGGACTGTAGAAAGAAGATACCAAAGGCAAAGTACATGTATCTGGCTCAGGAGCTCTTAGTTGATCCAGAATGGCCACCAAAACCTCAAACAACAACAGAAGCTAAAAGCATTAAGGAGAATGGATAATGTCAAGTCATCACTATAAAATAGCAATACATCAGTCTCAGTGAGATGGTAGTAGCAGTATTGAGGAGAATGGAATTTCAGGATTTTCTGATCCTCTGTGTCAAAGTGGCACCATTTTAATTATGTCCCTTCTGATATAAGTAGCTGATTTGAGATTTTTTTTTAAACAAAACAAGAAAAAGGTTGTCAAATTAATAATCAGTCTGTGAAGCCCAATATCTTCATTCAGTAACTCTAAATATATGTACTTCCAGAATTTTCTTGATTGTTTTCCTCAGTGATAGATACTCTATACAGTGTGCAGAAGAAAGTTGGTATTTGGTAGACATTAGCTTTGGAGACTCAGTTTGCATCTTGAAACTTTCACAATCCCATTATTAGAAAAAGTGCTCATTTATATACAGTCCTAACTTTGTGGTTCATAAATAAAATAGGTGTTAATTAGCTTCCAGTGAAAATAGGAAGAAAGCCTGTTTTCATTTGATTCCAGTATTTCTTCCAAAGAATTCTGTATGTACATATACCAGTTCTCTTTGGTAGCTTAGATTTAGGTGTGAGTTTTATGGTGTTGCTTATAGAACAACTCAGGTAATTTTCATTTATGGTTTTATATTTTCTGTACAAATTGCCTGGGTTTTATTTTTCTAATCAGCAAGGTGCTTCACTGCCTTCTTCAGGTGTCCCTCAAAAGCTGTTAAGTGGACTGTGCGTTATGTGTGGTGTCAGTAGTGTAATTTGCTTGAGTTAAATGTTGTAGAAACTTTTACGCTAGGAGAAAAGGTTATTTCTTTTGGCTATTAATAGATGTAGCTCTGTCTTTTTAATATCTCTTCATACCTGTTTTTTCTCTCAGGTTTTATACCATTTTAAATATATTTTCTTCTGTTTTAATTACCTAGAGACATAGGAAAATTGTTTTTGTAATTTTTTTAATTTAGTTTTTGAGTTAGACTTGTATCTTCTAAAATTTTTAAGGTTTGATGTATGTCTCTCATCAATAATGAAGCTTGACAAATGAGTGATTTTGAAGGACTGCCGTTTTTTCAAAGCAATATGAACTTGGTGACTTGTCTTTTGCCATTAGGCGGCGCCAGAGGTCAGAGCTTACCTATTTTGGATTGGATGCTTATGAACAAGCATATTTGGGTGTGGAAATTTCTGGGAGGAAAAAAAATAAAGAATAGACATTCATTGAGTCAAAAGAAATGTGGAAAATATTTTTCACCTTTCTGTTTTGCCTGGTTAATGTTTAAATTCTAAATGAAGTAACTTTAAAAGTTCCTTTATAGGTAAGATCCAGCAGTTTGGCAAAGCCCACAGGTATGATAAACAAGGAAACTGATTTTTCTGTAAAATGAACCCTGAACTACTTCCTGTGTTCTTTCCTAACCAGTAGCACGTTTGTGCTTTCCTCTTCTAGCTGATCACTATTTTTCTGATATTACCAATTTATCAAATATTACCCAGAACTGTAGAACCAAATCATTCTCATTTTATATTGCAGAGACCTGAATGATGTTTGATAACTGCAGAAAAATGTATGTTACACTCAGGATCACTGTTACTACTATTGCCACTGATGATTCTTACTAAAACATAACTAAAATTTTCTATTAAAGAGTATAATATGATATTAATACACATTAGATGATAAGGACAATTGTTCCATGAATGATTCAATGAAGCTATGCATATTAGACCTCTTGGCCTGTGAATTAGCACTGTTTTCTATAGTTCCTTACTCTTTTGGTCATTTTATAATTTCCACATTCATTTTCAACATGTAAAGTGTTACTCCTCAGTGGTTTCTCAGAATTGTAAATTTTATTCTTTGATTTAAATACTGAAACATACAATTAAATCAGTTGCTGAGTAGCAGCTTAAAAATCCATTATCATGTTGCATTTAACATACTTAAGAGCATGATCATAAAGAGCTATATATTTTTTACACCCTCTTTTTTTAAACATTTAGATTTTATAAGGGTTTTATATCTCATCTGTCCATATTGTTTTCAAAGGAATGAGGTTTTTTTAGGTAGGTGTACAAACATTTGTAGAAAGTTAGATTTGAACATAGGCGAGGTGGGTTGTTCGGGTTGTAATTGATAGGTTCTAGAATGTTATTTGAAGAATGTCTGTGACTCCAGGTGTGGGTCTTGCTCAGTGCCAGAGTCTTGTCTGTGTAGGTCACCATTACGTAGTGATTTTGATTCTGCATTTCACATTAAATTATTTGAGTGTAAACAGACCTAAATTTTAAAATCTGTATATATGTTATTTTAATGTATTAAGATTAATAAATATTGCTGATTTAAATTTTATTTATGCACATACTTAATGGATGGCGATGTCCGGTAAAGTAATTGTTAAATAATGATATGTAACTTTTTAACTTTTTAAATAAATAAGATTTTTAATGTGTGTCTCCCTCAGGGTTGTTTAAAGTTTTTTTTCCTCCCTCAAATATAAATAGTAGCGACTATATGTTTTGTATCTTCTAGCACCAACTGCTGTAGAGCAGTACTGCAAATAATGCTTGAAAAGAAGTGGCTAAGCCAACAAAATAAATACTTTTTATATTAGTTTTATAATCTTTACATTTGAAAGCTTTCCAAATTGCACTTGCATTAAAATAAAACTGTTGCAATTTTTACTCTATTTATTTTGTTTCCCATGTTTATGAAAATACTGCTCAGTTTCAAAACCATGGTAAATAATATATCACTATTTATGTTTTCTGTTCCCAGAATGGCTATAGATAAACAATATCGGGAAAAGAGCAAAATTCAAGCTTTAGAAAACATTCTAAGATTGTATGCATGCAATTTTGACATCTGGAAATAGGTTTTTGTATATTTATGGTGGGAGGTGGTTGGGAACTTCTAACAAAATGTGGGATGTTAATTTTGTATAGTCTATGGGTGTTTACACATTTTTTAATGTAATAAAATTCGGTAATTATGTGCACATTAAATAAAGTAGTTACTTCCTGTTATGATTTGTGAATTATTCTCTAAGACTTTGGATTTTTTTAAAGTAACTTTATATCAAAAATGATACTGCATCTTTATATTTTTTTAATTGTATTGCTGCTCAAGAATGGTACCCTGATGTCAAAGAGGTATTCATTAATTGTACATTCAGCACTGTAAATAACCTTATGAAATCTTTTTTGATGGAAGCTAATAAAAATAAAAATTTAAAGGAATGAAATAACATTCGTTTTCTGTGTCTTTATGTTTGTTTGTTTTTTAGATACAGAATACCTACCCCCTCTGGATTTATTTTACTGCTTAGTACTTTCCCATTTCCTTTTTTAAACTTTGGATTTTTGAAGGAAGTAAATAAAACATTCTACATACCACACCACATCTGTGACCATCCCATAGAAACCCATCAGTCAGATATAGTGTAGAGCCAAATGTTAAGTGTCAGGAGGTTTGAGGGAAATGGTGAAATATAAGACTAGGGTCCTATGTGTTAATGATTGGGAAGAATAAACCAAAAGCTAATACCATGTAAGACTTGATAAGTTTGAGGTGAGGCACATCCATGAGTATAAAAAGAACACTCCAAGGAGAGCAAGAATCTCTGGAGCAACCGCTGGTCATAGAAATCCCAAAGAAGGTAGGATTCAGTTGGGTCTTTGGGCTTGAACAGGAGGTGTTCCCTGTATCACGGGTTCTGTGGGAGGTATACATGCTCTCTGCTGTGGGCTGTGTGGCAGGTTGTGGTGTGATGGTTGGATGGGGAAAGGCCTAGTCTGAACCCAAATTCTCATTCACTTTGGTTTGTATAGCTAATCGTGTCCCCAGAGCCTGCTGCAGTGGCACAGTTCTGCATGTCTCTCCTTCCTCTTCCCCCTGTGTCACTGCCAGGTGCTTTAATCTGAGTGTAAGTTGCAGGGAAGGACAGAGGGTGTTACAGGAGTTTGAATGAGACTGCCTCTGGTCAGGGCTGGGAGTTGTGATCACTCAAAGTGTAAACTCAGAGAGCCTGCTGTGCTCTGGCTTCCTGAGCCCTGACAGGAAGAAAAGCATATCTCGTCCAAGCAGACACCTAGTTTTGAAGGCCGAACCCCATAGGCCAGGCTTCTGTGACTTCTGTACAGAAGCTGCCACTTTGGACAGCAGATTTCTGACCTGAATGGATCCAAAATCTGAAGGACTTGAAACATCAATTGTTCAAAATTCTTCTCAATAATCCCCCATTTGTTCAGTGGATGCGGACTGTTCCTCCACTGCCTGCAACTTCTATACCTAGCTTATTGGGCAATTGGGATGTCCTGCTTTCTGCAATGAATAAAGCTTGGAGGTCATTCTGATTGGAGGTCTTACTGGTGAAATGGACTGAAGAAGTTTCACCAGAATCTGACTCAAAACTGTTACTCCAGTTTCACCACAGTACTTCTTCCCAGTCTCTATCACACTGGTTCCCTGGCATTTCATGACCTTTCACTTGGTATGCCTATGCATGTCTGACTCACTGGGCCACCAGGGTAGCTGGATTTGCTTCCTTTGATCAGAGCTGAGAGCCTCCCACAGTACCTAGCAGGGGCAGGGGCTTTTCTTGTGGTTTAGGACTGCATTACTTAAAAGGTGATTTCAGTCAGTTCAGCATATATTGGGCTTCAACCGCATTTGGCTACATCAAAGGCTGATTGGATTTCATGCTTTTCTACACCTGCAAGTGTCACTGGCTGGGGGACTTCTTTCCCATCTGGGATAAAACAATTCAAGAACCACTTCTGCCGTGCCACCCAACTCAGTAATTCCAGAGGTTAATATTTATTCTTTGACAATGTAAGCATGGACTTTCCCAGTACTTTTTTATACCTTTATTCATACCTTTTTTTCCCTTAATTCCATTTTCCCTTCCAAATCTCTCTTCTGCATTAAAATTTCTTAAAAGTGATACAAGCACATATTCAAACGTCACAAAAAAGTATACAAATATAAGGAAGTCTGCCTGTTACCTGGTTTCTCCCTCCCAAAAGGTGAGTACTGAAGTTTCTCAGGTGTGTCATTTCAGAAAAAAAGTATATATGTCCTCATATAAGTATGTTTTAAGAAATCCTACACAGATGAGACATTTTATATGCTGTCCTGCCTTTGTTTTTTCGTATTCAGTGTATCTTAGAAAGTTATGTCAGTACTTGCAGCTCAGCTACATTCTTTTTAAAGTGCAAGGCATCCGTTGGATGGGTGTACCATAGAATTTAAATGACTATTCTGTTTATAGTCATTTAGATTTTCTTCTTTTTTTTTATTACATAAAATCCTGAAGTGTTTTTGTGAACATATCTTATGCATATCCATAGGGTGTATATTTTTCTGCAGTGGAACTGCTAGAGAATTTAGTATTTTAAATTCTGTTGATACTACTAAATTTTTCCTCCAAAACATTTGCCCCAATTTATATACCCATCAGTGCAGAATGAAAATGTCTCTCTCTTCACACTTCACAAAGCACTGGATATTTTCAGGCTTTGAACACTAAAGTTTATTTCAGTATGGCATTGGTGCATGGATTATCAACTAGAGAGTCTAGAAACAGACCCACACATTTGTGAGATGTTAGCTTGCTATAGTGCTGACATAGCTCTGAGGGAAGAAGGATGACTAGTGGAAAAAAAAATGGATTCAAGCCACATTTTGCACAAAAATCAATTCTAAATGGACTAAAGATCTAAAAATGAGACAAAATTATAAAGCTAAGAAATGGAATATTTTTCTGATGTGGGAGAAGGATATATTTTAAGAGACACAAAAAACCAAAAGAATTTTGCCTATATTAACATTTCTGTCCATCAAAGGACATCAGACGGTGAAAGGGCAAATTAAAAACTAGTTGAAGACATTTGTAACACCTATAATCGATAAAGGATTAGTATCCAGAATACATAAAGAATACCTACAATTCAGTTTTTAAAAAGACATTTTGGATATAGGAAAATGGCAAAAGAACTATAATTTCTCAAATAAAGCACAAGTGACCCTTAAAAATATGAGGAGATACGCAAGTTCATCATTAAATGGGGAATTGAAATATAAAAGCCACACTAAGACAACTATACATGGCGAAAAATTTATAAAAATCAGTTCCAAGTATGGGCAGAGCTATGAAACACGAATGCATCATACATGAGTACAACTACTTTGGAAAGCAGTTTGACATGCCCAAGTCATGTTGAAATGTGAATACCCTTTAAGCCAGTAATGCCATTATTGAACATATCTGAGAATGTTTTTAGTCTTATAATATGCCCAAAGAGGGAGAGGAAAATGAGTAGAGAACTGTGGCATACCCAGAGGAAGTGTGGCCCATCTGGGGGTGTGGCTGCCGCAAGCATCCAGCTGTGCCACCCAACTTCTCTAGCATAACAGAGTCCTGCTGTGCCATTTATGGAGAAACTTCGGTCCCTTCTGCTTTATTCATCTTTGACAGTAGGGCTTAGGTTATATATGGTCTCTTTCTCAGCTTGAAGATAATCATTGAAAACCGGAATATGCCCTCTGAGATAGCGTCCTCCCAGACTTTATTCTGGTGAAGTCTTTATCCCCAGGATGCAGGCGAACCTTCCTCTTCCTTTTCACAGTGCTGAATCGCAGGCGAAGCTCTAAAGCTTGCAGTTGCTTTGAGCTGCAGCACCATTTCAGGTAAGGCTGAATATTTTAAAAATTAGTATGGGCAACTGAAGGGACTGGTTAGTGTGGGTGAGAAATAAAATTTAGTACAAGAAATGATTTGTGTGAAATTACACTTGGGAAACATTGTTTTGGCAGATTAGTATTACTGTGGGTATTTCACAGATAATTCAATGCCCTCGAGTATTAATTTTTAATTTGTCATCTTAGAAATGATAGCTTCTTATTTATGGCTCACTCAGAAATACTGCTCTCAAATTCGAGCTCTGTGAATCCTGGTTAAGTTACTTAACCTTCCTGTACTTTAGTTGCTTCATCCTTTAGTTGGTGGTAATGATAGTACCTACTTCATAGGGTTATTGGAAGGATTCTATGAATTAATTTACTCAAGCACTAAGAACAATGTGTGGCATAGAGTGATAGGTTTTACTACCTGCTTTTCTCAGTGTGGCTAGCTGAGGATATTCACTATTTTGGGGTGTTCATTGTTTCAGTACGTTAGTACTGTGGATATAACACGATTGTGATTCGTGATTCGGGGCTGTTGAGTAACCTGTGCGCCCTGCTGGAGCTGCGGCTCGATGGAAATCACATCCGTTCCATTGCACCCAGTTCCTTTGATCGGCTCTGAAGCCTGAGCTTTTTGACTCTTTCCAGCAACCATCTTTGCTGTTCAGTTTCTGACTTGGTATATCCACCCCTGGGTAAGTTAGAATCAAGAACAGGGCAGTTTCAACAGTGGTGAGCACTTCTCTGTGATGTCTGGCGAGCTTGAACATGAAATGATTATTTTAATTAGTTCAATGTACAGATTCAAAAGTATGGGCTTTTCTATAGCATGAAAATGCTCTGTCAATGCTTTAAGCTGAGAGTAGAAAATAAGGAAAACAAAAGAATGAAACCTTGTAGTGTAGAAGGAATTTCTTCACCGTCTAAGCAATTCTGAACTCCTGAGAAAACAGGGATACTTAGTAGTATCTGGACAACATTCCAAGTCCACGATAATCGTGGCGAAGAGATCATGCCTTTGTAGCGTTCCGAGATTGAATATGAGCGTTTGTCCTTGCGTGTTGCCCGCAGACTTCCCTCTGTTGCCTTTTCAGACATGCTGAGGAGCACTCTGCTGTGCGCAGTGCTCGGAATCCTGGGGGCCCAGCCCTTCCCCTGTCCGCCAGCCTGCAAGTGTATCTTCCGGGACGCCGCGCAATGCTCTGGGGTCAATGTAGCACGTATCGCCGCGCTCGGCCTTCCCACCAACCTCACGCATATCCTGCTCTTCCGAATGGGCCGCGGCGCCTTGCAGAATCACAGCTTCAGTGGCATGACGGTCCTGCAGCGCCTGATGCTGTCAGACAGCCACATTTCTGCTATTGCCCCAGGCACTTTCAATGACCTGGTAAAACTTAAAACCCTGAGGCTATCACGCAACAAGATCACCCATCTTCCGGGCGCGCTATTGGACAAGATGGTGCTCCTCGAACAGTTGTTTTTGGACCGCAACGAACTAAAGGGCCTTGATCAAAACATGTTTCAGAAACTTGTTAACCTGCAGGAGCTCTTTTTGAATCAAAATCAACTCGCTTTCCTTCCTGCTAGCCTCTTCACAAATCTGGGGAACCTGAAATTGTTGGATTTATCGGAAAACAATCTGACCCACCTGCCCAAGGGATTGCTTGGGGCACAGGCTAAGCTTGAGAAACTTCTGCTCCACTCGAACCAGCTCATTTCTCTGGATTCGGGGCTGTTGAGTAACCTGCGCGCCCTGCTGGAGCTGCGGCTCGACGGAAATCACATCCGTTCCATTGCACCCGGTTCCTTTGATCGGCTCCGAAGCCTGAGCTTTTTGACTCTTTCCAGCAACCATCTCGAGTTTCTGCCCTCGGCACTCTTTCTTCATTCGCACAACTTGACTTTCCTGACCTTGTTCGAGAACCCGCTGGAAGAGCTCCCGGAGGTGCTCTTCGGAGAGATGGCCGGCCTGCAGGAGCTGTGGCTGAACCACACCCGGCTGCGCTCCCTGCGGGCCGCTGCCTTCCGCAATCTGAGCCGCCTGATGGCGTTTGGGGTGACTCTGAGCCCGCGTCTGAGCGTGCTCCCAGAGGACGCCTTCCGGGGCCTGGGCCAGCTCCAGGTGCTCGCCCTGCACTCCAACAGCCTGGCCTCTCTCCCTGACGGCTTGCTGCGCGGCCTAGGCAGCTTGCGCCAAGTGTCGCTGAGCCACAACCGGCTGCGGGCCCTGCCCCGCGCTCTCTTCCGCAACCTCCGCAGCCTGGAGGAAGTCCACCTGGACCACAACCAACTGGAGACCCTGTCTGGCGACGTGTTTGAGGCTCTGCCCCGGCTGGCGGAGCTCCTGCTGGGGCACAACCCCTGGCGCTGCGACTGTGGCCTGTGGCCATTCCTGGCATGGCTGCTGCAGCACCCGGGTCTAGTGGGTCGATCTGAGCCCCCGCGGTGCCGTGGCCCAGGGCAGCGCGCCAACCTGCCACTCTGGGCCCTGCCGGCCGGCGACCCAGGGTGTCAGGGCACCCCGGGCCCGCCTCTCTACCCTACCGCTGACAGCTCCTTCGAAGTCCCCACCCAGTCTGCACTGCCCGCGGCCTCTGTCCACCCTGCCTTGGTGCATAACAGCTTAAAACCGGGGGCCTGGGCCCAGCTGGTGGCCAAGGACAAACGTCAAGACCATAGCCTGTTCTGGGGACTTTATTATCTGCTTTTAGCCGGTCAGGCCATAATAACGGCGGTCATTGTGTTCGTCATGATTCAACTCAGCAAGCTCTTTCGAAAATTAATCAGTGAAAGAACTCTTGGTTAAGTCCATAGGAAAGCCTTCCAATTAATTAAAATGTGACCAGAGTATTGCCAGCTGCCCTCCTCTCCCTTCTCCCGCCTCCTCCTCTCCCTCTCCATCCCACCCTCCCTCACCCTCTCCCTCTCCTGGTCAAACCCACTTCCCTGTTTCCAAGGCCCTGGGCCTGTCTCCCGCACAGAGTAGGTGTCTGGTGAATGTGAAATGAATGAATAAAATGAGCACATGTAATCCAGGTGATGGTGGTTTTTCCTGGGGAAAGCATGGATTGTTCTCTTTATCTACTTCTCTTTGAAAGGCAGAGCTCTTCCAGTTCTTTCCCTTGTCCTATTTTGTTTTTCTCACTTTACTTACCTCTGCCCTGTGGGTACTTTGGGTGAGCGTTGGATTCCATTCATTCAGGGCATATTTTCATAGAAGGCCTACCCCGTGATAGGCGGGCAGATCTAGGACACACCGCCTGCCCTCCAGGAGCTCAGCACCCATTACAGCAGTGGTCGCTGCTGAGCGCCCAGGAGCAGGAGGAGGGGTGCTCGGAGAGTTAGCAGAACCCAGATTTGAGGGAGGAGTGGGACTCCCCAGGAAGCTAACTGCAGGGCTCAGGAGGGATGGCTGGCTGATGGTGAGAGTCCCCTGGGCGCTCCTGTGAAGAGTTGCTCTACATGGTCCTGCTCTCGTAAGTTTCTGCTTGCATCCTATGTGAGCCAAGTATGTCATTTTGACACTGAGTTGGTTTTCATTTCCTGCAACTAAATGCTACCTCATTTCACAAGTATTTATGGAGTACCTAGCATATGACAGGTGTTCATGAATGTAATGATTAGCTTGGTTTCTAGTTTATTATGCTCAGATCACATTCTCATTTATTCTTCCAATTGAAAGCAGTAAAAACCTTGTTGCTTTAATTGGATGTCTGTGCTTGTGAGAAACAGTAGTTAAAACATGGGCTGGAGAGTTGACAGCCATGGGTTCAAATCTGAGCTCCGCCATTTACTAACTGCATGGGACTTGGGGCAAGACACCTAAATTCTCTAAGCCTTGGTTTTCTTGTCCCTGAAAAAACCTGAAATTGTTGGATTTATCGGAAAACAATCTGACCCACCTGCCCAAGGGATTGCTTGGGGCACAGGCTAAGCTTGAGAAACTTCTGCTCCACTCGAACCAGCTCATTTCTCTGGATTCGGGGCTGTTGAGTAACCTGCGCGCCCTGCTGGAGCTGCGGCTCGATGGAAATCACATCCGTTCCATTGCACCCGGTTCCTTTGATCGGCTCCGAAGCCTGAGCTTTTTGACTCTTTCCAGCAACCATCTCGAGTTTCTGCCCTCGGCACTCTTTCTTCATTCGCACAACTTGACTTTCCTGACCTTGTTCGAGAACCCGCTGGAAGAGCTCCCGGAGGTGCTCTTCGGAGAGATGGCCGGCCTGCAGGAGCTGTGGCTGAACCACACCCGGCTGCGCTCCCTGCGGGCCGCTGCCTTCCGCAATCTGAGCCGCCTGATGGCGTTTGGGGTGACTCTGAGCCCGCGTCTGAGCGTGCTCCCAGAGGACGCCTTCCGGGGCCTGGGCCAGCTCCAGGTGCTCGCCCTGCACTCCAACAGCCTGGCCTCTCTCCCTGACGGCTTGCTGCGCGGCCTAGGCAGCTTGCGCCAAGTGTCGCTGAGCCACAACCGGCTGCGGGCCCTGCCCCGCGCTCTCTTCCGCAACCTCCGCAGCCTGGAGGAAGTCCACCTGGACCACAACCAACTGGAGACCCTGTCTGGCGACGTGTTTGAGGCTCTGCCCCGGCTGGCGGAGCTCCTGCTGGGGCACAACCCCTGGCGCTGCGACTGTGGCCTGTGGCCATTCCTGGCATGGCTGCTGCAGCACCCGGGTCTAGTGGGTCGATCTGAGCCCCCGCGGTGCCGTGGCCCAGGGCAGCGCGCCAACCTGCCACTCTGGGCCCTGCCGGCCGGCGACCCAGGGTGTCAGGGCACCCCGGGCCCGCCTCTCTACCCTACCGCTGACAGCTCCTTCGAAGTCCCCACCCAGTCTGCACTGCCCGCGGCCTCTGTCCACCCTGCCTTGGTGCATAACAGCTTAAAACCGGGGGCCTGGGCCCAGCTGGTGGCCAAGGACAAACGTCAAGACCATAGCCTGTTCTGGGGACTTTATTATCTGCTTTTAGCCGGTCAGGCCATAATAACGGCAGTCATTGTGTTCGTCATGATTCAACTCAGCAAGCTCTTTCGAAAATTAATCAGTGAAAGAATTCTTGGTTAAGTCCATAGGAAAGCCTTCCAATTAATTAAAATGTGACCAGAGTATTGCCAGCTGCCCTCCTCTCCCTTCTCCCGCCTCCTCCTCTCCCTCTCCATCCCACCCTCCCTCACCCTCTCCCTCTCCTGGTCAAACCCACTTCCCTGTTTCCAAGGCCCTGGGCCTGTCTCCCGCACAGAGTAGGTGTCTGGTGAATGTGAAATGAATGAATAAAATGAGCACATGTAATCCAGGTGATGGTGGTTTTTCCTGGGGAAAGCATGGATTGTTCTCTTTATCTACTTCTCTTTGAAAGGCAGAGCTCTTCCAGTTCTTTCCCTTGTCCTATTTTGTTTTTCTCACTTTCCTTACCTCTGCCCTGTGGGTACTTTGGGTGAGCGTTGGATTCCATTCATTCAGGGCATATTTTCATAGAAGGCCTACCCCGTGATAGGCGGGCAGATCTAGGACACACCGCCTGCCCTCCAGGAGCTCAGCACCCATTACAGCAGTGGTCGCTGCTGAGCGTCCAGGAGCAGGAGGAGGGGTGCTCGGAGAGTTAGCAGAACCCAGATTTGAGGGAGGAGTGGGACTCCCCAGGAAGCTAACTGCAGGGCTCAGGAGGGATGGCTGGCTGATGGTGAGAGTCCCCTGGGCGCTCCTGTGAAGAGTTGCTCTACATGGTCCTGCTCTCGTAAGTTTCTGCTTGCATCCTATGTGAGCCAAGTATGTCATTTTGACACTGAGTTGGTTTTCATTTCCTGCAACTAAATGCTACCTCATTTCACAAGTATTTATGGAGTACCTAGCATATGACAGGTGTTCATGAATGTAATGATTAGCTTGGTTTCTAGTTTATTATGCTCAGATCACATTCTCATTTATTCTTCCAATTGAAAGCAGTAAAAACCTTGTTGCTTTAATTGGATGTCTGTGCTTGTGAGAAACAGTAGTTAAAACATGGGCTGGAGAGTTGACAGCCATGGGTTCAAATCTGAGCTCCGCCATTTACTAACTGCATGGGACTTGGGGCAAGACACCTAAATTCTCTAAGCCTTGGTTTTCTTGTCCCTGAAAAGGGATATGTAGTACCTCCCTTACAGAGTTGTGAGATTTAAAGGCAATAAAGTGTATGATGACTGAGACTAGTGCCTTGCATACAGTCAAGGCTCAATAAATGTTAGCTCTTGTTATTAAAGGGCAAGCAGTTATTTCTGCTGTCATGATCTCTAAGGAAGAGCTTCAAGTCACTTTTTTTGTGTGTGTGTACGTAAAGGTGAGAGCAAACCTTCTCATACAGGAGATGACATTCGAATCAGTTTGTCACCCATGGTTGGTCTCAGCCTCTGAACAACACCAATTGGAGATGGAGCAGGCAGAGCTGGGTTCTTGGCATTTGTAGGTGCACTTCTCTTTCAAGGCCAAGTTCAAATGTCTCCTGGTAAAAGCCCTCCCTGACTGTCCAGAGAGGCTCCAGTGTTCCCTGCTGTGAGCTTCCTGCAGGCTCTCAGGCATGGCGCACCCTCCCCACCCCTGTCTGGTCCTGCTCACTCTCCACTCTAGGGTGTGTATTTTTATGTGCCTTCTTCACTGTCAGCAGCTTGGCCTGGCCTGGTCTTATTTTTCCACTGCTCTAAATTTTGAAACTACCTACAGCATAAAACACAAGCTTTTTTGACAGACTGTAGTGAGCTACCTAGCTCTCTAAACCTCCGTTTCCTCACCTGTAGAGTGAAGAAACTAGTCTACCATTGCAAGGATGAAATGAGATAATCCAGGCCAAATAGGTCAGTGGCTGGTGACTATGGGGCACAATAGAAGTTGGCTATTGTTATGATTAATGCTTTCAAAGTATGCTGTGTTCTACTATGTCTCAATGCCTTTGCCTATGTTCATTAATTTAGCAAGTATTTGGTGAGTTCCTCTGTACCAGGCACTCTTATACATTTTTCCTGGGTTAACATGTTTTTGAGATTTATCCATATGAAGCACTTGATTTTAATGCACCCGTATTAATAGCTGCATAATATTCTATTGAATAAATATACCACAATTAATATATTCTCTCATTGATGGATATGTTTTCCCATTGTTTTTTCTTTTTTCTTCTAATTCCTCATTATTCACATCTTCCCAACTCTTGGTAGTGTCAGAATCTTTAATTTTGTCAATCTGATAGGTATGAAGTGGTATCTTATTGCTGTTTTATCTTGTATTTCCCAGATAACTAATGTCTTTAAATTTATTTTAAATGTGTATTGAACATTTGGATTTCTTCTGAGAGTTTTCTGTACATATACACTGACCAATTTATAATGGAACATTAAAAAAATATTCTATTTTCCTTATTAGTTTGTAGGAATTCTTTATAGATCTAGACACTAATCCTTGTAAATTATGTGCTTTGAACTTGCCTTTTTCAGTTCTGGTTCCTAATTTCACTTTATTTTTGCTCTCTTGTGAAACAGAAGCTTTATTTTTAATCTAGTTAAACTGAGCAGTATAAGTTTATGGTTTGTGCTTTAAAAAAAATCTTATTTAAGAATTTCTTCTTAAGTCATAAAAGTAGTCATATATGTTTTCCTCTAAAGTTGTAAAATTCTGTTTTTCACAATTAGGTCTTTAATTCACATAGAATTTATTTTTGTATATGGTGTGATGTAGGGAGCATACCTGTATTTTTCCAAATATCCACCTCTTGTTCCAGACCATAAATCACATAGTCCATTCTTTCTGCACTGATTTGAAAAGCTATTTCTGTCATTATCAAGTTCCATGTATATATAGGTTGGTATCTGGGTTCTGTGGCCTAAACCATTGGCCTAGTTATCTATCCTACTCACTGTCTTCATTATTGTAGCTCTAATAATTCTTGATAAGGGGTCCCCACTCCACCTTGTTCTTCAGAAAAGTCTCATCTACCCTGGGCCTTTGCAATTCTCCATACATTTTAAGGTCAGCATGTCAAGCTCCACTGAGAAAGCCTTTGGGAATTCTGATAGGAACTGCAGTCAATCTGTAAACTGCTTAGGGGGAGACTCCAGTCTTCACAGAACCTAGTACACTTGTTTGTAAACAGGGTTCATCTTCCCATGTGTTTAGGTCTTCTCTAACCTTTCAATGAGGTTTCAGAATTTTTTTCGTAAAAATCTTGCACAGATTTTGCTGGATTTGTCCCTTGGTATACTCCCTGTTTTTTGAATTACTGTTGCTATTGTAGATACTACCTCTTAAAAAATTACATTTGCAAACTGCTTATTACCAGTATATAGAAATGAAATTTATTTTCACACAATTAGTATATCCAAAGATAATTCTAATAATTTTCTTCTTATTATTAAACTTCATACCTTTTATTTATTTATATTTCTATTTAAAAAATCTTATCTGCACCAGCTACAACTTTCAATACAGTGTTTAATAGAAAAGATGACAGAGAACATGCTTAAATGAGTCCTGATTACAAATGGAGTGTCTCTAATAGTTCATCAATAAATATGACATTTCTAGCTTTAGCTTGTTAAGTACTTTAGAAATCATGAGTAAATGTTAAATTTCATTAAAAATTTTTATATCTGGTAAGATGGTCTTATAGCTCTTCCTCTTTAGTGTATTAAGTGGTAAATAAGATATACAGATTTTGAAATATAAATTCATTCTTGCATTCCTGAAGTAAACCAAGCCTGGTCATGCATTTTAAAAGTACCTTTCTAGATTCAGTTTGCTAATGATAATTTTATTATCTGTTCATTAGTAAGACTCTTGTAAATTAAAAAAAATACCTTTGGCTGATTCTAACTGTATAATCCAAATTCTATAGCCTCAAAGTGGGTAGGAACGTTTGTAAAAAATAGGATTATTTTTTCCCCTGCATATTTTGTAGAACTCCTCTATAGTTTTATTGTGTGTGCTGCATAACAAGTGCCTCAAATCTTAGTGGCTTAATACAACAAAATTTATTATCTTATTCTGAGGGTCAGAAATTTGAGACTAGCTGCACTGTGTGGTTCTGGCTCAAGATCTCTCCTGGGTTATTGAAATGCCGGTGAAACTGTGGTCATCCTGACAGGGGTTGCAGTATCTCTTCTCACATGGTTGCTCCCAATTCTTTGCTGGCTGATGTCAGGAGTCCTCAGAATCAAATAATTCTTGATAAGGGGTCCCCACTCCACCTTGTTCTTCAGAAAAGTCTCATCTACCCTGGGCCTTTGCAATTCTCCATACATTTTAAGGTCAGCATGTCAAGCTCCACTGAGAAAGCCTTTGGTGAAAGCCTTTCCTAAGAACAAACTGCAGTCAATCTGTAAACTGCTTAGGGGGAGACTCCAGTCTTCACAGAACCTAGTACACTTGTTTGTAAACAGGGTTCATCTTCCCATGTGTTTAGGTCTTCTCTAACCTTTCAATGAGGTTTCAGAATTTTTTTCGTAAAAATCTTGCACAGATTTTGCTGGATTTGTCCCTTGGTATACTCCCTGTTTTTTGAATTACTGTTGCTATTGTAGATACTACCTCTTAAAAAATTACATTTGCAAACTGCTTATTACCAGTATATAGAAATGAAATTTATTTTCACACAATTAGTATATCCAAAGATAATTCTAATAATTTTCTTCTTATTATTAAACTTCATACCTTTTATTTATTTATATTTCTATTTAAAAAATCTTATCTGCACCAGCTACAACTTTCAATACAGTGTTTAATAGAAAAGATGACAGAGAACATGCTTAAATGAGTCCTGATTACAAATGGAGTGTCTCTAATAGTTCATCAATAAATATGACATTTCTAGCTTTAGCTTGTTAAGTACTTTAGAAATCATGAGTAAATGTTAAATTTCATTAAAAATTTTTATATCTGGTAAGATGGTCTTATAGCTCTTCCTCTTTAGTGTATTAAGTGGTAAATAAGATATACAGATTTTGAAATATAAATTCATTCTTGCATTCCTGAAGTAAACCAAGCCTGGTCATGCATTTTAAAAGTACCTTTCTAGATTCAGTTTGCTAATGATAATTTTA